TCAATATTCTCAATAGTAGCAGACGTATATATGGACAGTCGGGAATGATATGCATTAGGAGAATTCTGATGCACTCCAAAAGGATGATGACATATTTAATGTATTTAAATCACAACATATTCAAACCTTTTTCACAAACATTAACTTGATAGTATATGCAATACAATTCACTTATGAATTAGAAGATGAAGAAGGAGAGGAAAAAATTACAGTTTAAACAATATTTTATACATAAAAACCAAGACACTCGAATAGATACCTAAATTTTACATCGTCTTTCAAGGTGGAGTTGATAAAATGTCTTAGTAATCAAGCTAGGAATGTGACCAATAAGCCAGGAAATCTAAATAATGAAGTGAAACACATTGAAAAGAAATTAATACTTAATAACTACACTCCGGAATTTATTCGAAAGTTTGTAATGACTTTTAAGAGAGAGAGAGAGAGAGGGAGAGAGAGAGAGAGAGAGAAGAATACTAGGGGTAACTGTGGTAAGCCTAAGAGGGAATTCAGTTCCGCTTTAGTGTTGCCACATCAAGAAAGTACGTTGGAAAATTGACAAAGAATTCTTAATATTGCTGAGGTTATATTGGCATTTAAACCCATGCACTTTCTAAGGAAGGAACTTAAAGACCCGGTAGAGCCAATTAAACAAAAGAATATATCTATTAAACAGCATGTTATGTTTGTGAGGTCAAGTATTTGGGTCAAAGTAAACAATTTGGATAGTAGAGGAGAAAAATTTAGCAAAATATTGAATGTAACACCCTACTTATAGAAAAACTCATCTGTCACTCTGTATCCACTGTTCCATAATCGCACTATTGGTAGGTGGGAAAAGATGACAATTCTAAAATTTAATATGGTTAGGATGAGGGAGAAATTGATCACGGAATCTTTATTCATTGAATCAACACCTAACACAGGCAAAAGAAATTATTCATCACATATTGCAGATACCTAGATAATTCTGTTACCATTAAAATAAAAGAATTACGAGCTGTTGCACTGTAAATGTAAAGTTTGAAATTCATTTAGTTACTTTGATAGAGATATTAGCAATAAACTCTGTTCTAAACTTCACTGAGTAAATAACAGTTTATACTACAGCAAGTAAACCACCTAGTACGGAAGATGAGGTTGCAATTATCAATAAAAAGAGACTGATTGTTGTGTATAAGCTAAAGATGAATCAAGCAAACAGAAGTTGAAAAATGTTCATCGTATATTATGGCTAGAAACAACCATTGCTAACTTGCATGTACTGATGAAAGCCCGTAAATTGAGAAGATTGAAAGACTAGGGATTCAACTGGCTTACTCGAACTCGCTCCAATACCTCAACTGATGAAACAACATCAACTGTATGGAAGCTTACCACTTACTGTAAATAGGAGAAGAAATAGATTTACTCTACTTTGTATGGACTATCTCAACTATAAAGTTAAAACTTTTAGATGACTTTAAAAGTCACCTTAGCAACTGATGAAATGGTCAATCAAACTTTAGTATTTTGCCAGAAGAAGCACTTCTCTAAAAAAAAAAATAAAGGAATGTAATTGGCTATCTCATTACTCACTGGAGTAGCCTATAAAGTCACCCTAAAACTTTACTATTAAAGGAAAGGGACTATCAGTATCCAGCATGTCGCCATGTAAGCCTTATATGACGTGATTGACATAAGTGGTTATTATTTCGTTCAAATAGTGTGTAAAATGGGTAATTCTGAGAGCGATTTTTTATTAATATCTCCACTTATTTTATTAGCTTTTAATATTTATTTGAACAAAGTAATAACATAATTTAAGTCACGCCAAATATAGTCAACATGGCAACATACCGGATACTGATAATTAAGAAAAAGATACAGTCATCATCAGCTTGTAACTGTTCTGGTAACTAATTCCTACCATTTCTATTCCTCTTCTTGTATTGTATTCTAAGTCTGATTATGGTACATTGGTTTTAAATTATGCTCAAAGTGTTCATCAAATCTTCATATCTATAATTAGCTTCCCAATATCTTATTTTACCAAAAGATACATTTTACTATAGTTTTTGTAAATACCACTTCAACTCCAAATGTTTCCTATCATTATTTGATTCAGCTGTTTTCCAATTTTGTGATTCAAGCTTCCTAATTCTGTTTCCGAATGATCATTGAAGTGGATAAGAATAAAGACTGGTGACTTCAGTCCTAACAAATAAACCGAGTGAGACTAAAAGTTATCCCCAGGTGTAATAGTGTTCCATGTAAAAATACTTATTTTCTGTGTTTTATAAGCTTATATTTTGGGTGGAAAACAGCAATCATAAATCCTTTCTGCTGCAGTTTTAAGGCTGAATTAACTTAATTTGATTTGTTAGCATCATCCTTCATAAATATATGTAGTTACATTCCTACTGAGAGGTGGATGGGCAACCAATAATTAGCATATGAATAAACGGCAAGAAACATGACTCAGTGACAGAGAGTATTTTAGAAACTATACAAATAAGTAAAATATACATATACAGCACACGAAAAGTAGTCGAATTTGAGTACAGAACACAATATCCCACAACAAGCGTGATAACAACTGGGGATAACTTTTAGCCTCATCCACATTTATTTATTCAGATTTGTGAAAGAGATGAACTTTCTAGGTGAACTCATCGGTATACATTGACTACCACTTTAAAAATACCTTCTTCTCATCTTATGTATTTCTACCGAGTGTTTCGTGTATAAGCTATTTTGTTCAATTCTCTTTAGTTTATCTCCTTACTTGGCCAACTTTATCCTTTCAAAATCTTCTGTGAAGGTATTACACTGTTTTGTGCATTTTATTGAAGAATGAATGATGAAATTTGACTGACCGTTCGTTTCTCAAATAAATTTTAGCAGCGAAAGTCTTAAGTAATTCCTAACCTTCTTGGGTGACTGGAGCGAATCAGCTGTCTGATACGAATCATCCTGTGTATAAAGCCCGCCTAATTTGGCTCTCAGTTGTTGACATGGCAAACGTATGTTAATGATACTGGTTTACCTTGTGAAAACTAATAATGATCGCGACTTGTCTACAACTTCGCATTTCTGTTACTATCCTATCATAAAGACTTCTTACTAAGAAAGAACAGTTTTCCTTACAACTTATTGGCTCATTCTGCTTATTTTAGGATTTTATTTCATGAAAAGTTCTTGCGTCTATAGTTCGAATCTCTTATTTTGTACTTTTATGAAGTCTGATTTAGAGAATGTCATCGTTGGAGATTCTTTGAAATGAAATTATTTGTAAATTTGCCTTCCATCACACATATCATTCATTTTTTCCTTGAGAGAAAACTGATTCAAATTAAGTATTCACTTGCACAGGCGGCACAGACGAGGACGTCAAAGCCAGCCAGGATTGAAAAAGCAAGATAGGCGTTCATCAGCCTGAAACCAGTGTGGAGATCTTCTGCACTCAGCGTGTGGAATGAGATCCAGATTTTCAACACCAACGTGAAGTCACTGCTTCTATGTGATGGTTGAGAGACTTGGCGCGTTACGAAAAGCATTTCCAATAAACTAAAGATATTCATCAACAACTGCCTACTCTGCCTCGTTACTGAAGATCAGATGGCCAGAATAGTAAGAATAAGCAAGAAGGAACTCTGGCTGGCTGGCTGGCTGGCTGGCTGGCAACGAACCAACCAACAACCTATCACTCAATAAATATGCAGAAGGAAGTGGAGATGGATTGGGTATGCAGTGAGAAGGCCGATTGGGGACATCAGGCGTCAGGCCAGGCACTCGAGTGGAACGTAGATGGGAATCGACGAGTTGGGTGTTCGAGGAGAGGGTGACATGGAGGAGATGGTGTGAGGAAGAAAGGAGAGGTTGTGGGCAGTGGTGGAGCTAGGTTGAAAAGATTGCAGAGAAGAGAGTGGAATTGAGATGTGCTACTGAATCTCTATGTTGCTCTAGGAACCCAAGGGACAAATAATAATAATAATTCACTTGCACAATTATTTGTCTCTAAAATGAATTACTTGCACTAAATATTCTAATAAAATGCTTAGAAGAATCGCGATAATTTTTCCGCGAATATGTGACTATTTCTTAAACATGAAACTGAAATAATATACTCTTTTTAGTAAGGTTTCATTTCAGCCTTGCTCGGTAGCTTCCAGTAATATATATACCCCGTTGTATACACTAGTGTGTGATGGCTAAATAATCATGAAGCTTCTATCCTGAGTACATATCAAGGACTAACCAACTTTCATTGTAAAGATAGTGATGCATTATCTTAGACAACAAATTTCACGATCAGTGTATTGAATTACCAGATGGTCTATTTCAAAGTAGCGCGGTTTTCATGTTTAAATCTAAAGAAGACAATAACAAGTATATATTTCACAGGGTTTTTATAGTACGAGAATACCAATCAATAGCATATAGTAGGTTGAAAGGCAGACCTTGGTGCTTGTCTTTGAAAGTCAAATGTCTAAATCATTAGAGTCACAGGTTTACTGGTTGAATGACTTCTTAGATATCTGAAGAGATATATACGGAAGTGACGTTGAGAATATGCACAAACCCAAATGCTCCCTGAACATACTGCATATATAAACAAACAAAAAATATTAAAAAGTTTTCAATTTTTTAAATTTAAAATAACATTTCACTAGATAATCTGTACAATTTTGGTCTGAAATATTTTAACATGGTTCCTTTAAAAAGGAAATTCTAATAAAGGGTTATATGTATTCTTGTAGATCATCTTATTCATCTTTAGGTGTGATTGTGCACACAAGAATTTTGTACACCTATTTGAAAAATGTGGTTGAATGTCTGTTTATATATATGTGTTCAATGTTCACTTGAGTGAATGATAATGAATATGCATTTATTTTGCCTCAATTTTGGTTGTCTTTAAAAAGAATAAAGTTTAGTGAGAAAGTAGAAAAACAAGAGAGAAGTAGAGGAGAAAAGAATAAAAAGTTTAAAAAGACGTTTTATTTTTTAATGTTTGGTCATAGTGAAATCCCTAGTTTCATGCTGTTTACCATTACTATTGTTATCGTTAGATCGTTGAGTAAATGAAGAATGTATGTATTGTGTACTTCTAGAGTTTGACTAGGTATGAATGTCTCTGCTGTTGTAGTTATTGTAGTTATTACTGAATGGTCATATATGGGTAATCCTCTTTGTTGAGTGTTCAATGGATCTGATGGTAATACTTCACTAGGATTCCATAGATTTACAAACATCCGATCATTGCTTGTAGTAGGAACAATATTACAGGGATTTGGCACAGAAGTAACAGTTTGAAGTAAATTTGCACCAGGTATCAACACTGTTCTCCCAGTTGTTGTAACTAGTACGCTACTGGGTGACTGTTGCAGTAGACTTTCTGATCCAACTAAACGCGATAAGTTTTCTGGTACAACTAAGGGTGGAAGTTTTAATGTCGGTAAACTTGTTATTACAGTATGTGTAACAGTCTGAGAAACATTTTCAGCAGATATACTAGTACTTGAAATGAAAGGATTCAGATGAGACTGCATTCCATCAGTAACACTGATATGTTGTGAGTGAACTGCTTCAAATGGAAAATCTTCTCTCTCTGTCAATGGTAAAGAAAGCCGATAATCTGAAGGTAAATGCGATCGAACACTTTTCATCCCGTAAACTGATGTCGGTAAAGAAACAGAACAGAAGTGAGTTGTCTGTGTTGGAGGATGTACTTGACTAGATTGTTTAAATTTAGGGAAAATAATCTGAGAAGACAAGGTATGCATATTGATTTGTTCATTCGACTGTAGTGAGGACTCACTTTCAGTTGACATTGGCTCCAATTGGCTGTCTGTCTCCCCTGAATATTGTTTATAAAATTGGGATATACGTTGCCTTGGTGGACTACGCCTAGACTGTAAACTATACACATCAACTTTACTGGGATTTGTTAGATATTTCTGAGTTTTATTTTGACTATATGATTCTTGTGAAACTGTTGTTTTTAATTTCTTGTCTGATTGTTGTTGTATATTCAATTTTGAGTCAACCGAATACTCCAGGGATGAACTTTATTTGACATCGCTAAACTCGAAGTCCGACGAGATTTCAAAGAGGTAGATGATTCTGTAGACGATAAAGGAGGTATAAATATTGATTTTAGTATTTTAGGGCTATAGTTATTTTTTTGGTTTTGAGTTTGTTTTTGATGATGTGTAGTTTCATGATGATTATTTTCATCTGTTGTCGACTTAATTTCAATAGTAGAAACAAGTTGAGCTACTTTATCATCGATGCTATTCATACGATCCATTAAATTACCCAACTCTGATTTCAGTTCATTTTGCATTCTCATTAAAGACTCTAAAATTGCTTCATTAGATAATTCCAGTTTCTTAAAACGTTCTTCAATCATTTTTGATGACTATCATTAATTACTTTCTTGTTCTCCTTAAGATTAGAATTATCTTCTACAGAAGTTGATAGATTTTTTGATTTATTTTGGTATGTATCATGTTCTTCATGGATTGTTGATGACTTCATTAAACTGCCCCATTTCGATTGTAACAATGGTTTAGTGTTAGTAGTAATGCTGTTAGATGTATTTGTATTTTCATTACTATTAGTAGTGATATCGTTACTAAGGCGATTAGACTGTTGAACTGATTCTGAAACAATCACCTTATTACCTTTCATTTCCATACGTTTACCCCATCTGGATGCAATTTCATCTAATGCGCTAACAGGATTACTATTATTGTTATTATTAGTCACAGTTGATGTACTTGGACTTTCTAGTTTACTTTGATATTTTTGTTTATCTTCACTTTTGATGTTGAACTCTAAGTCTTTGCCTAGATCATCATAATCAGCTAGTGTCATTGATTTACGACTAAGACGCATTACTTCAGCATCACTGATACTGCCAATACCACCGGCACCAACACTACCCACTGGTGAATCATTTGTGGATTGATTATGTGCACCGATACGACGAAATTTATGTATCATACGTCGAACTGGATGATCTGCTCGTAAACTAGATAAAGCATTATCAGCTTTACGATGTTCAGCTAGTTCATATTCTCTTCTAACATCAGCAAGTTTACGAAAGATAAGCTGAAATAAAAAGAAGATATTAGAATATTTGTTTAGTTTGCTAATTGGAAAGCTTGTGAAATACTTTTTATTTTCTATTGGTGTACAAAACTAATGAAGATGTTTTAATTACAACTAAGTCTGTGTTCATTTATCCATTATCATAACAGAGATCATTGATTTGCAATCACTGAGTTCATAGGTTTCAGTAGCATTTCAAATACAAAAATTTTGGCAAATGAATTCACATTTAACTTCTAGTGTATAGTTATTACACATACTTTATTGAAGTAATATAAAATTTTGAATGAATTAGACCATTTGTAAGAAATGTGTTGATTCAAGAAACATGATGTATTTACCGACGACTATCATAGTCCTCATTTCACTTTAATTAGGCATTATGTGCATATGCTATTGAGAAATGTTTTGATAATAATAATAATTATTATTATTATTAGTCCCTTGGGTTCCTAGTGGAACATAGGGCTTCAGTAGCACGTCTCCAGTGACCTCTGTTCTCTGAGATCTTTTGAACCTGGTTCCACGACAGCCCAGAAGCTCTCATTTCCTCCTCGCACGATCTCCTCCATGTCACCCTCGGACGTCCAACTCGTCGCTTCCCATGGGGATTCCACTCGACTACCTGGCCTGACGCGTGATGTCCTCAGTCGTCCTTCTCAGTGCATGCCCAATCCATCTCCACTTCCTCCTGCATATTTTTTGCGTGATAGCTTCTTGGTTGGTTCGTTCCCAGAGTTCCTTGTTGCTTATTTTTTCTGGCCATCTGATCTTCAGCAGCGAGCGTAAGCAGTTGTTGATGGATGTCTGTAGTTTATTGGAAATGCCTTTCGTGACGCGCCAAGTCTCTAAACCATACAGAAGCACTGACTTGACGTTGGTGTTGAAAATCCGTATGTTGTTCCGCATGCTGAGTGGAGTGCAGAAGATCTCCACACTAGTGTCAGGCTAATGAACACCTGTCTTTTTGATAATAATATGAGTAATGAAATATACCTATAAGGACTTGAATATATCCATAAGGGATCATTTTAATCCTGAACAGTTGAAACTGGTTGTTTCTATATAGGATAGTGAAGGTTTCTCTAGTTCTTACTAATCGTAAGGGAATATAGATTAAATAAAAACATTCTATGAATTCATTTTCCCCCACAGAGAACTGATTTACTTATCATTCATATTAACAGAGTTATACAAAAAAAAGAAGTGTGCAGAAATTGAACATTTAAGAAAGTATATAACCAAGTGTAGTATTAAAAGCTATTGATGTTTAAAAAAAGTTTTTCAAGCAGGTTATTTCCTAAAATGGATATGGAAATAAGTTCACTGGAAGCTAAAGGATGTTACAGGCGTAAATATCCTACCACAACTTCAAATTATTACATAAGCAAAATTTATTTCCTGGTTAATATGCCTCATTAGCTGAAATCAGTTGGATAGACACAAAAGGCCTAAAAGCACCGGATGGCTGTTTCATTCTAACTTAGGACTCTTTGGCGGTGTACATTCATGAACCTGTGAGGGATTAGATCTAGAAGCATCAGGTTTGTAGCTTTAGTACTGCTTTCTGTACTGACGAAGCTTAGTGAGTCAACTACCAGAGAAGGATTTGGTGACATGAAGTACTGAAGGATTTTTACGGTCACTATTCAGCAAGAGGCTACGAATACATTGACGAATGAGATTTATCCATGTTTCAGATACATCTAACTACTAATTTACATCAGGTACAAATTCTGAATGCACAAAATACCCCATAGTCGAAAGCTAAGACCTAAGTGAGATTTTATTGCGGTCATTTGAAGTCAAAGAAATCACTGTTAAAACGTTCATGAGTTATCCACAGGTCAGAGAACTATGTCTAAAGCTCTTACACCTAGAGGTAAATACTTACCGAAATTATATTGTCTGCTTGAGGCTAACATAAAGTGGAATATACTTAAAAATACAAAAATTCTCTTTCATTAGTTTGTGCAGTTCAATGAGTCTGCACAGAATGAACCATACCAAAACTAAAGATAAATTACCGTCCATGAATAGCTTCACACTAAAATATGTTGGGATTATTGATTATGTCTAACCGTTTAGATCTTTGCAAAGTAATCATAATTCAAAGTCGTAGCCGAATGGTGGAAGATTGACTGGTTAACTTAATGAGTGACAGCCTTAAAAAAAGGAGAACATAATGACACTTAGCTTGAATGATCATTTTGAGTTGTTTAACAATATATCTAAAAATTAACAACCAAATTGTATTAATGGATACAGTTACTGATATTTTACTTACTCGTGTTTTAAATCATATGTAAGCACCAAATTACGAGCAAAACTATTGGCGAATGCTGAATAAAACTTTAATACTTGGAGTAAACAATCTTTTTTGATACAATGTAAATCACAGTAGGTTAGTGCACGAACTGTAGCAGCTGAATGACTCATACTATTTGGATCTTTCCAGAATGGTTCACCAAATACATCTCCACGACCTTGAAAATTAGAAACGAAAATTGATATACATATTTCTAAGATGTATATTGGTTCGTTTAAGCCTAAAGCTCCATTTCAGAGAATTATTCTATAGTAGAGACGTGCTACTGAAGCCCTATGTTCCACTAGGAACCTATGGGATAAATAATAATAATATAATAATTCAATAGTAGAAGCATCATCATATTTAAGCAATCTGAACGTGATACTTTATTAAACTTTAGTTGGTGAGTGGATAGAAGTAATTTGAATTGTTTAGTATATACAACTATCTTAGTGTCAGATAGAAGGTTTATGATGTAGCATTTTAGCTAGGTAAATCAACAAATCATTGGAACCTATTTAATACGGTAGGATTACACTTGGTCATAGTAGGATCTAAGTTATACCACATAGAATCTGAACAGATTTTGTTTAAGAAAACTAAACTGCTCCAACAATTACTGACAGCCAAGGGCTTACTTGATATACGATTCTATATTTTTAGTACATATGCTTAATCTTTTCTGTTACCAAAAAATATTTCGATTTCACGATAATGAGGATAGTAGTTGGGATTTTTGCTCTTAGAAAGCAAATAGGAACTAAGTATGTCACTACGAGAATATACTTTCAATGGGAAGATAAAGATTTTACTATCGACTAGTTAAATTCTCTCAGCATAGTGTCTTTCCTGCAAAATTTTTAGTTTTTACTGATTATTCCATCTTTTATCCCATGTTTGAGCTAAAAGTATATAACCTCATTTGTATAAGCTGGATTTCTGTAGTTTCGGTCTTATCATCAACCGTTCAACTAATCTTTAGATGAGCAGTCTACTGTTAGGCATCATCTATAAAATTATTTTAATGCGGTCATATACCTTCTGGATTTTCTTACTGTATATTGGTAGACTTAAGCAGTATGACGCCATTGTTCTAACTGTAGAGCTTGTATATTATGTCACAGTGTGATTCCATATTAGATTTATTTGTTAGGTGTATCACACAGTCTTGTAGTATTACAAGAATGCGAAGTAGCATACAAAGGTAAACAAAAATTCCCTAGTTCAAATTTAATAGTTATAGTGCTTTTCATTCCCACATTTGATCAGTGTTAGAGTTGTTAGGTAAATACTTAGGATAGCTGTTGAATTAACCCCATCGCTTACGTTAGGCGGTGATTCGATGAACGAATATTCAGTGATTTCTATGATTTTGATAAAACCTGTTTGCTTACTAATGAGTAGTTCAATATTGCCGATGAAAGTTTTGTACTCGATGAACCATGAGACTGCAATTCATATGTTATTATCACTGGTGAACTTCATTTACTGCATTCAAAAGTGATTTCAAAAGTTGAATCTAAACCTTGTTTTTAAAGAATATTTGTGAAGCCAGTTTGATTATCAGTGTTATACACACTCAGTTCAAGATGGGAATCACTTGTAGGCTTCCTTATTTTACTTTGCTTAACGATAGTTGTAAGTTAATGAATACCACTTAGCAAGAGGTTAGAAATGATGGGAAAAGTTATATCTTTGAATCCTGACTGGACTTTCATTTGTGTGCTCATCGTTAGATATCTCACAAAATATACATTTCAGGATGAGATTGCCGTTTTAACGGACTGAATACCAATCAAGAGGTTTTCTCGATTATTTCATGCCAAACGAGGTTTAGATTCCTGTCAGATATCAAAGGTGTAGTTCTGAAATATCGACCTCATTTCACACCTCATAGAAAGTTTTCATTGCAGATGAATAGACAGTACGATACTGGCATGTGTTAATCATCTACATGGTGTAATTGATCTATTTCATACAGAGTCAGTCATATATTAATCAACTAGTAAATATGCCTTTAACTGAGTTGTTAAACTATCTTTTAAATCGTCAGAACCGGTATGAAGTTGTACATTGACTATGATAATAAATATTAATGATTTGGTACTCATCATGGACTGACTTCAGTTGGAGGAACGTTGAAAACCCGGGACCACTGGAGCAGTTGTTTCCTCTTAGTATGCTACTCAGCAGTGAGCACCCACAACCCACCAGGGATCGAATCCGTGACTTTCAGGTTCCGTGGTCAGCACGTTATCATTGGTCCACTGCGTCAGAATCCAATAGCCCATATTTCCTACGTCTGTCAATTCATGACATAGCGAGGCCATCACCCAGTGTCATCGCTGAGTACTTGTTCTCATGGCCACCAGGTTTGCCTCATTATTCGCGACTTTCCATTAGAACTACAGGAATCACCTCTCGACTCAATGGCTCATTGGTAACGTATTGGCCACGGGACCTGAAGGTCGCGGATTCCATCCCTGGCGGGGTCGTAGGTGCGTGCTGTTGAGGAGTTGCATACTAGGACGAAACGGCTGTCCAGTGCTCCTAGGTTTCCAATGTTCCTGCAACTGATGTCAGCCCATAGTGAATACCAACTTTAAAAATCTCTAAATTCCCACAAATCCCCAAATATTAATAAGCTTGACACGAGTTTTTCTTTCAATACATCAAGATATGTTACGTAACTAGATTTAGATCCGAAAAAGAATGATAAAAATTCCGAAACAACATCACACAGGCTATATATTATCCTTTGATCAGTAAACTTTGTCGTTAAGCGAGCCAGCAGATCTAAGCACCGCTGTAATCCAAATTCCATTGAGCATCTCATGTAGGACTTTTTGGAGGTTTTAAAATTTGGAAACTGTTTCAACTTTCCGGAGTGCCACAAATCTTTATCAACCTCATTCAACAGCAGCTATATGCTATATGATGCTATATGACAAGTAATTCACAATGGAAAGTTCAGTGATGCCTTCAAAGTAAAGACAGGAGTAAGACAAGGTTGCTGCCTATTATGATCACCGATCATCTGCCTGATTGTAGTCGACTGGACTGAACTCGATCATGCAACAGACAACTGTGAGGAGCGAGATGTGCGTACGCTGGTTGGACGGATGAATAGACCCCAGAAGATTTGAATTTCGCCGATGATGATTTATGTCTAATGTCGCACAAGCTCGAAGATCTACAGGAAAAACTAACAAGTTTACAGGAGAGGTCAGGCGAGGAGAGGCAGTGTAGGAAGACGGAACTTCAGGTGAACGTAGAGAAGACAGGTGATAAAGAAGTCAATGGTTCTATACTATGATTCAGAAACTTGGCGTGTCACAGAAAGCACTTCCAACAAACTACAGACACTCATCATCAACAACTGCCACCTACGCTTACTCGATACTGACATTGAAGACCGGATGACCAGAAAGAATAAGCAACAAGGAACTCTGGTCGGCAACGAACTGACCAACAAGAACCCATCGCTCAACAGATATGCAGAAGAAAGTGGAGATGGATTGGATTGGGCATACACTGAGAAGGTCGATCGGGATATCACGCTCCAGGTGAGGCCCCCGAGTGGAATCCAAAGGGGAAATGACGAGTTTGGCTTCCGAGGTTGTTGACATGGATGAGATGGTGTGAGGAAGAAATGAAAGCTTGTGAGTAGTTGTGGAGCGAGGTTCAAAAGACTGAAGAGGATAGAGTGCAATGGAGGCGTGTTACTGAACTCTATGTTCCAGTAGGAACCCAAGGGAAGATAAATAATTAATAATAAATGAGACTGATGTGCTTTTATAGATAATGAGGAGAAAGGATAGAGGCTTAACATTTATCTTTTTCGAAACTGTGACCTATTACAGGGTTGTAGTTGTCCAATTCGCTTATTAACCATTTGAAAATTCATACAATAACAGAGTAGAATTCCCTAACTTACAAAGGAGGAGATATTGCCATTCACTCGCCTCCACTATGACATCATCTGAAGATGACTTTAATATCTGGAAATAAATAACACTAAATTCTTTATTCTCTTTAGCAAACTTACCCAAGAATGCAACTATTTCATCATCTTGAATGACTTCTAATGAACCAGAAACAACAAAACACAATTGATCAATACTTTCACCCTGATGAAATATCAAATCACCCGGTGCTGTATGTATTGTATTAAAATTCACGGCTAATGCTCTTAAACAACCATCACTAGCCAATCGAAATGCTGGATGTTCATTGAATACCATGCGATTTAGGTGAATGCATAAATCAGCTTTCATGTCTTTTGGACAGTAATTTAATACCTATAAAAGAAGATACTCATGTTTATAAATAAGCTGTATAATTCAAAATTATTGGTAGTGAAATTAAAGAATAGTTAACCAAGTCAGTTAGTACACAAGTGACCTTGAAATACCAGTCACGTTGTACATAAAAATGGACATGGAACGTATGAGTGTCCATACAGGAAGATTAGACAAGATTCAAATGTGTACCTAGGATAAGAAGTGAATGCTTAGTGCAAAGATTGCTGGTCTTAGTGCGCTGTGACAAAATGGTGGCACACTATTACTGGCAGATTTAGAGACTGGGAAAATACCAAGTGAGAATTTACGCCTGTTGATGAATTTACTGTTCACATAAGAAGTCAGATAACCACAACTTCAGTATACTTTACACCTTTCACTTAAGTTGCATGAATACAGAACGGAAGAAGAACGTTAAGATGATATTGTCAATACAAGAAGTGTATGTTGTTGAATGTTAATCCTGTTCCCATGAATTTAGCCGAAATCTGATTGGTTGCTGGAGGTCACCTGTGTGAAGGTTAATTTAAGTGGCTGTTCTTAAATTTAGCTGCCATGATAGATTGTAACCTAATAATAACTTTATTTCGTCTATTGAGATGAGAACAACAAATTTATTGGTTTGATTGCGTGTTACTGGCTTACCATCTTAGTTAAATAGGGTTTCAATCATGGGAACTATTTGATGACTAAGAACAACTGATAACACTGCTAATATTATGATGAGTAGATGAGATACTTTGGAGCTATGACTCATCGCTAGTAGTGCGACAATCTCAGTCTGATCAATCAACTGCTTTCAATCTGTGATGAAAGTTAGTTTGAGATCAGTCCACCCCTACACACCACCAAATGAATATATATATATATATATATATATATATATATATATATATATATATATATATATATATATATATGTCCATTGGGTTCCTAATGGAACATAGAGATTCAGTAGCACATCTCCATTCCACTCTCTTCTCTGCAATCTTTTCCACCTAGCTCCAACACTGCCCACAACCTCTCCTTTCTTCCTCACACCATCTCCTCCATGTCACCATCTCCTCGAACACCAAACTCGTCGATTCCCATCTACGTTCCACTCGAGTGCCTGGCCTGACTCCTGATGTCCCCAATCGGCCTTCTCACTGCATACCCAATCCATCTCCACTTCCTTCTGCATATTTATTGAGTGATAGGTTGTTGGTTGGTTCGTTGCCAGCCAGCCAGCCAGCCAGCCAGCCAGCCAGCCAGCCAGCCAGCCAGCCAGCCAGCCAGCCAGCCAGCCAGCCAGCCAGCCAGCCAGCCAGCCAGCCAGCCAGCCAGCCAGCCAGCCAGCCAGCCAGCCAGCCAGCCAGCCAGCCAGCCAGCCAGCCAGCCAGCCAGCCAGCCAGCCAGCCAGCCAGCCAGCCAGCCAGCCAGCCAGCCAGCCAGCCAGCCAGCCAGCCAGCCAGCCAGAGTTCCTTCTTGCTTATTCTTACTATTCTGGCCGTCTGATCTTCAGTAACGAGGCAGCGTAGGCAGTTGTTGATGAATATCGTTAGTTTATTGGAAATGCTTTTTGTAACGCGTCGAGTCTCTCAACCATATATATACGTCGTTGGCAAAATGAACTTATCTACTGGAATCGAAGAAGTATTTGCACCTCTTTTACATAACTTGCACCTCGCGTTACATCTACACGTTTGCCATCTTTTACTAAATATCTTATGCTGCTACCTTGATGTATAGTTGATTGTTGAAACAATAAAACTTATTAGTTGTGTAAATATTCACTTAGTAGATTCATAAAGCTCATCACAACGTCTAAGTTACCTTTAAACATATTGCTTCATATGTTCAATCGATGTATGCGTTTGTGTGCACTAGGCACATTTTTAGTACTTTCTTATGTAAGCTTTGATGGTGAGACGCAATCCTACTGGATTAAGCTGAGTAATGGAGTGTTTGCTTGATACAGATACCCGGGAAGATACATTGTTTCTTCAATCTTCAGTGATAAAGATCGTAGGTTGACAGCCTATTTTGACCATTGAAATAGTTATCTCTATGAAGATCCTGTTTTTACTTGTGTTTGCCAAAGGAGCTGTTACTTTGTTCCGGTAATAAGTTCCAGCTGTTGATCACTTTATGCGCCAACACCAGTATGTTTACATACATTTCATGGGTAGTTAAAGCGTGATGTTAAAGTTTTAAAAGAAAACGTTTTGGTCATATTTGCGTCAAAGTAAGAAAGCATAAACGTCCAGAACAAAGTTTTTTCTGAATGTCCTGCTCCGAGTCTGATTTCATCATTGTAAAAGTACACTTTAATATAATTCCCTTTTGCTTAGAAAATTAAAACAAAATTTTTCTCAACATTTTGTTGAGTAAGCTACAGCTTTTGCAGCGGTGTCTAAATGCTGTTTGTATTGCAGAATGCTATAGTGTTTTATCAGGCACAGAGGACACATTTAAATATGCCGCTGCCTCCCGTTATAGATTGCAATATTGAACATAGAATCTCTTTAGATCACTTCCTTTCTTGGTTACATACAATCTAAGTGAATTGATTACACTTTCACTCATTCTTTAATGCAAGAGATCATTCGGATGGTGATTATGTTGTTTAAGCTGACGAGACAAGGACTTTTTACGAGATATTTTTTCAGTGTGTGTGTTGAACAACCATACTAATAGGGGTAGTTTGGTATTTTTCAGATATGAAAATCATCGACATAACAAGTTAAATCACTAAGTAACATTTAGTAGTTACATTTTTATGAACGTAAGTGGGAGACACTTGTTTTAACCATATGGATTTACACTTGTCACAGTAAATAGACTTATTTAATGTTATAACAGGGTAAACTTGTAGGAAGACTGGAAATAAGTGAATTGGTAAATATCAACCAGATATTCAAGATATTTTATTCTAGGTATACCATCTAGTGTCGGTGATCTGCACGGATCATTATGTGGAAGGCATATGACTCTGACCTCTGGAAAGTGGTATGTTATACACAATGCTTCCTTTTATGAGGATCCTCGGTTGGCATAAATCGGTCTTGAGGCATCAAACCCAGGGTTTTCAGGTTTGACGGACGGCACGTTACCACTGAGCCATTGTGTCAGAATTCATTGGTCCATATTTCTAATGCCGTCAAAACTGAATATATCTTGGGGACGATAATAGAGAGGTAACTCAAATTGTCTAGAATCTTAAAATATTTCACATAGGCTAAGGTTAGATAGAACCTCGCCTGGTTAACTAGTTCACTAGTTACTAGCCAGTCCTAAGCCCGGGTAAAGAAGGTAGGTTGGGCATAGGGCTAGCAACCCTACCCCGTAAAACAAATCTAACCGCTAAAGAAACTTCAAAGCACAAACAAAATATAAAAAATAATAACAAAATTATTCCTCGCTGGAATCGGAGAGGCAAAATGACGCCAGTTGGTGAAAGCCTTCGGGAAGCCGATTGGCCGATGTGTCTTCACCTCTCTCGATGAAAGCGAAAGTAAACGTGGAGACATGGAATGTCCGTACGATATTTGAACCCAGTAAGGCATCCCAGATTGCAAAGGAGATGAGAAGGTATCACATCGAAGTGCTTGGGATTTGCGAAAGCAGATGGAATGGGAGTGGACTCTCCAAACTGTCAACTGGAGAATCAATAATCTACTCCGGTCACCCAGACGACAACCACGAGCACACTGAGTTATGGAGTGGCTATCATGATGTCCACAACAGCATCGAAGGCTCTCATGCAGTGGGAACCAATCTCCTCCAGGATCATGGCAGCAAGATTCAACTCAAAAGGAAGGAAGTCGAGGTCATACAATGTTACGCACCTACAAATAATGCAGAGCAAGAGAAAAAGGAGGATTTCGACAGACAATTTCAATCAACACTGGACAAGACCCCATCTCAGTTGGCGATATCAAAATTCTAATGGGCGACATGAATGCCATACTGGGAGCAGACAACACAGGAAGAGAACTAACCATGGGTCGAGAGGCGCTAGGTGAAATGAACGAGAATGGAGAATTGTTTGCAGAATTCTGTGCATTCAACGATTTGGTGATTGGAGGCAGTGTGTTCAGGCACAAAGATATCCACAAAGCGACATGGATTTCACCAGATAAACACACTAAAAATCAAATCGACTTTATCTCAATCTCAAGAAAATGGAGACGCAGTCTACCTAACACAAGGTCAAGAAGAGGAGCAGATGTAGGTTCACACCACTATCTAGTGCAAGGAACCTTCAAAATCAAGTTAAAAGCCTTCAAGGAAGCTGGTGATAGACCGCAGTTCTAGTACAACACTCGGAAACTGAAGGATGAAACTACAAAGGAGATCTTCAAAGCAGCCATCAAGACAAAATGGGAGACGTCGAGGGACATCCCTGAAGAAACCTGTGTGGAAGAACACTGGAAGTCTTTGAAAGCTATGTGGAAAGAAACCTGCACAACAGTATTAGGAAGGAAGAAGAAAGAAGACAAGGAATGGATCTCGACGGATACCTGGAAGCTGATAGAGGAGAGGAGGATGGTGAAGCAGAAGATGAACCAGTGCAAGGATGCTCAACGACAAGAGGAACTGAGCACAATGTATAAAACACTGAACAAAGAAGTAAAGAAGAGTTCACGGAAAGACAAAAGACACTTCTACGAAACACTGGCAAGTGAAGCAGAACAGGCTGCAGGTAGGGGAGAAAGAGACCTGACAACATTGTATCAAATAACCAGGTTGCTATCAGGGAAGAGATCAACACAGATGAAACCAATAAAAGATGAAGAAGGAAATTTAATTACGAAAGAAGAGAAACAGAGGAAACGATGGGCCGACCACTTCAAAAAGCTCTTGAATCGACCACCACCTGCACTTCGTCCAGAAATACCACCTGCAGCCACTGAATTACAAGTGAACATAAATCCCCCAACGAAAATGGAAGTCCTGAACACCATAAAGCTACTGAAATGCGGGAAAGCATCAGGACCAGATGGAATCCCGCCAGAAGCACTGAGAACAGACGCAGAGACAACAGCGGACATGCTCACACCACTATTGCAGAAGGTGTGGAAGGAAGAGAAGGTACCTGGCTAGTGATTGGAAAGAGGGTTACCTTGTCAAACTGCCGAAGAAGGGAGACCTCAGTGTTTGCAAGAACTGGCGCGGAATCACTCTCCTGTCCACCCAGAGCAAGCAAAATATTAAGCCGCATCATCTTGGAGAGGCTAAAGGATGCACTGAATTCAAAACTACGACCGGAACAGGCAGGCTTCAGGAAGTACAAATCATGTGCCGACCAAATTGCAACGCTTCGCATCATCATAGAACAGAGCATAGAATGGCAATCAGCTCTCTACCTCAACTTCATCGACTTTGAGAAGGCCTTTGACAGCGTCGACCGAGAAGTAATTTGGAAGCTGCTTCACTACTACGGAGTACCGCAAACCTTTATCCGCCTCATTCAACAACTATATGAAGACTCCACATGCCAAGTAATTCACAATGGGAAGCTCAGTGATGCTTTTGAAGTTAAGTGAAGACAGGAGTGAAACAATGTTGCCTACTATCCCCCATGATATTCCTGAGTGTGGTCGACTGGATCATGCAGCAAACAGTACGCAGCGAGAAGAGGGGGATACACTGGACGACGGAAAAGAACCTAGAAGACTTGGATTTCGCCGATGACTTGTGTCTGATGTCACATAAACTTGAAGATCTTCAGGCAAAAACTAACAAATTGATAGAAGAGGCAGCGAAGACGGGACTTCAGGTGAATATAGAGAAGACAGAAGTGATGAAGATACCGCACCACCACCATCAACAACAACAACAAACTCCAATCACCGTCAACGGGAGAAACTTGAAGGAAGTAACCCCCTTCACCTATCTAGGCAGCACTGTTTCAACTACAGGTGGCGGCACAAACGAGGATGTCAAAGTCAGAATCGGAAAAGCAAGACAGGTGTTCATTAGCCTGAAACCAGTGTGGAGATCTTCTGCACTCCACTCAGCATGCGGAACAAGATACGGATTTTCAACACCAACGTCAAGTCAGTGCTCTTGTATGGTTCAGAGACTTGGCGCGTCACGAAAGAGATTTCCAATAAACTACAGACATTCATCAACAACTGCCTACGCTGGCTTGTTACTGACATCACGCGCTAGGTCAGGCCCTCGAGTGGAATCCCCATGGGAAGCGACGAGTTGGACGTCCAAGGGTGACATGGAGGAGGTCGTGCGAGGAGGAAATAAGAGCTTCTGGGCTGTCGTGGAACCAGGTTTAAAAGATCTCAGAGAACAGAGGTCACTGGAGACGTGCTACTGAAGCCCTATGTTCCACTAGGAACCCAAGGGACTAGTAATAAAATAATAAGGTTAGATAGATTAATACACTCACTTTTGCTGTATCAATGCCTTTTGTTATCGCCCACGTTGATGTTACATAATCAATTACACGTTCAGCTAAATCTTTTGGTACACTATGGGTTTTGATAAAATCTTTTACTGATGCCATCATATCATGATACCTGGATCTGGTTGCATACATACCTTGAAATATTGTTGTCACATTACCGAAGATTGTCGCATAACCGAAAGCTTGTTAGATAGAAAAGAGAATAAAGCAAAAAAAACATTATTACCATAAAAAAGATGTAACTAAATGAGAATGGTAGTCATACCAACATGCAGATAGACATGTGTACCTACTGTCACTGTTCAAGCTATAGGTTTACACAAATCCTGGTGACCAAACATCAGGATCTCCTTTCTATACATATATCTATCTTCATACTGAAGCGGCTAGATGTAGCATATGCAAGACATGACGCATAGAGCCTCTAGAGTGCATACTTTTTAATTAACTATCATGAAGTTGTTTTACAATACCTTGTCTGCAGTACAGTGAAAGTAGTAGGCTACAAACTTTAAGAAATTTAGCCTACCAGGCCGGAATGTTACAAGCCAGAATTAAACCAGATAAGGAATTCGGGTTGTCTAAATATTTCACAAGTTTTATAACTCTTGCTATCACTTATCGGTTGTAAGTGAAAGTAAAGCCTGGTTGATATTTATTAGAACCATAAATAGTTTTACACTTTAGGGTCACAAATAAGCATCAAGTGAAGAAAGGCCCGGGTTAATTATTCATTGGTGCTTGTGACGAAATTCAGTAAATTAGTACAACTCACTCTGCTACAGGTACTGATGTGCCAGACTGTGATCCACAGCTATTGCATGAGAGTTTAGCATACCAGCTGGATACTAAGAGCGACGTACGTGGGGTCGAACCTAAGACAAATTGATGGCAAATCAGACATCTTTGATGGTTAATGTGGGACAGTATGGGAGTTATGTTGTGGAGAAGTTTACTAAAGAAAAATATACTATTTCAAAGCAAAATTTCAATCAACAAAGATAAAAATGTTAAACCCTGCAACAAAATCGAATTTCCAAACGGTATGTTTGTTCAGGATTCCATTCTGAAATGCCCTTTCCTTTTCTATTTGTACTCAATATTGTGTATTGTTTCCGATCAAGTCTATCAAGTTTTCCTATGTTGCACCACATAATACTTCCGTGGACTATTATAAGTAGCTTTTACCAGTTCTCTTAGAAGGTTGATTCTGTCGCCTCGATTGTCTTCCTTGTTGTCATGATCGACATTGATTGCTTTCACACTGGTATCCATACAAGTTTGTCTTCATCAAGGTTGCTCATAGTACAAACTGGCCCATGTTTGTTCGTGATGTCACACTACAACTACTCATATACAATCTTATAAGTAGCTTCCACCGTATTAGTGAGGAAAAGAAACTGTTCACCTAGAATTTTGGATTATCTGACTACAAAAGAGTGTAGACGGATCGGTCTTCAGAGGGATCATGATCAGAGCCCAAGATCTCTCTGAAGACATTTAATTCACTGTTGACTGCTTACATACAGTCAACAAGATGGATTCAGTATTGATTTTGTGCATCTCGTAGTTGGTTGGTTTCAGTCGAAATTTGGAAGGTCCATAATGATGTGTATTATCCAGTGCTTGGCTGTTTCACATAATCTTTACATTCAGAAACTAGATGAGGTAAGTACTTTTTCAATTGTCCATAGTATATTTACAGCACCGGTAGATATAGGCTGAGATTCCACTGATAGAAAGAGTTAAGTCAACTTTTGGAAGACACTTCCTGATAAGTACTTACAAGTCTCACAACCTGCATCTCGTCAGTAATCTCCTGAAAACCTCAAAATGTAGTAAGTATATTGAAATAATGATCAATTCTACTACTAGAACTGGTGCTTGTAGAAATGTCTCTGGACGCCTTAAAGTTACACCGAAACCATTCTGAATAGAAGTCATTCAGTGGGGTGAAAGATATCCAGTTAACTGGCTGAATTCTCTTTAATGAATTGTAAAAACAGTATATACTACAACTCACCTCCTATAAGCATAAAAACGGCTGCAACTAATTTTTCCCCAAATGTTGTTGCTGATACATTGCCAAAACCGATACTTGTTATCAAAGATAATGTGAAATATAATGATGTCACATACGTCATTGTACGCGGCAGTGGAGGGTTCTAAGATATACGAAACACGGAAAAACAAACAAATAAACATACAGATAAAATGTTGAAGTGAAACAAATAAAATCAGAGTAAACTGTAGGGGATAAATTTTTGATAATTAATATTTATGCTATTAAGGTCAGCAAATCAGTCAAGAATTAGTGTTGTACAAATGAAAAAAACCAACGGGTTTACAGTCGAAAAAAGCACACATTACTAATTCTAGGTTAGATCATGATATATGAGTGTATTTTGATTCGGATGAAGTTGACAATATCACCGGTTGCAATTCAACCTAGTGATTTATGTATAAAGATATTCCCTGTTTCGGTTTTCACAGAGGTCATCGGTTTTATGATAGGAAAAAGCAAGTGTATAGAAATTTATGATATAAGAAAAGAAAAATCAAGTTATCATTTTGTACTTTGTAAACTGAAGGACGAAAACAGTTATGCAGTTTGGCGAAAAAAACTGTTTACCTTAAGTTGTGCAAAAGAGTCATACTGTTCATCTAATGGAACCGTAGTCGTCTGTTAGGCATTATAACATATTCTCTCATATAGTATGACTTTTGGGTAACTACGGATGTGATGCCTTCTGCAAACTTTGGAAAACTCGGAGATAGGAAAGGCAAACAATGTCGGGGATTTTTAAGAAGCTAGACATTTACAGCAATTACTCGTCTGCAAGTGTACAGATACGAATCCAGCAGGAAAAAAGAAAAGTTACTGGAAGGTTAGAGATGAGGGTTAGTGAAGTAACCAGTGAAAATATTCATACATTCATGCTTTTTGAAGGAATAGTTGTGAGTGTATATGGGTCTTTAAATATATAATGGTAGTTTTTATAAACTTCAAGATCAAAAGTTGACCTGATAGCGTTGAATAAGTTGACCAGGGGTTAAATGAATTATAAATGAAATATATTTGTAAAATTCCAACGAGGGATAGACATCAAGACCATATTTATAACGAATGTACCAGAAGGACTAGAGTGTCGAGTCTCTTTTCATCATCATCAAAATATGTTGCAATTCAATCCAGACTACTTGAAATATTTTACTAATTAAGCTTTGGGTAGTAATTTGTTGAATTGTTCATACAAAGATTATTTTTGACCAGACATTCCACAACTCGATTTCCGTACTTGCTTTCCAATCAGTCTTACAAATGACACGTAGTGAATGTTAACAAAATTAAAGTCCTCATTCATCTTAAAAATACATTACCGTGTAGCGCTCATTAGTGACATGCTTCCAGATGGATATCACGAAGTTCTAATGAGAAGCCGTGACCTGTGGGTTCAACCAGTCGGAAGTCAAGTGGATGTCATCTGAAGACCTTAAGTGATAGTCACGCTACACCACGAATTGACACAAGTTGGAAACTGTGAACCACTGATCTCCGACCCAATGGCTGAATGACTAACCTGAAAGTCCTAAGTTCGATCTTTAGCTGGATAGTGAGTGCGCACTGTTGTGAACTTTCATACTAGGATGAAACAGCTGTCTAGTACTCCCAGATTTTCAATGGTTCCCAAAATGATATCGGTCCATGATGAATACTACCTCAAAAAATTCTTTGGAATGACCTCAGTGAACTATCTTCAGCCATGAGGAGTTCACAGTAACATTTTCCAATACATTTTTATGCTACATTACATTTATTCATGTTAGTCGTCTCAAGTTTACGTATAGGATGGAATTAAAATGTCACTTGAGGCAACTTCAGGATCGTAATGTTGATGTCTTCGTATTGTAGTAAGTTTCTAGTTGATCAATGGAACCATTTGTATGAATCTTAGAGAAATCACCAGTTCTTATAAATGCCATGTAACATATAACAGCCTTGTTTGTGAATTCGTAAAATTCACTGTGAATTACATAGATGAGTGAACAATCTGTTGCTGTAATTAGAAAGCAGTTGACAAAGTTAATCTAAATTTTTTGCCTCAATCTATGTATTTGGCGTCAGTTATGAGGATTAATTGCAACACATATGAGTTCGTACCATTCACATCATATCAGTCAAATGGTACGTAAACCGAAATTTTCACCTCCAAACTGCAATGCACCTATGGTATGACCTGTGCATGAACTTGTTGCTGATGTGCTCCATTTTGACAGCTTCATTTCGTCAACTTGGAAAATTCTCGATAGAAACCATGCATTTATTAGATGCAAGGAATGTAGGAAGTGAAATCAGGATACCTTTTGAAAACCTTAGCTATGATTTGAAGGTTCGTCGAAAATCCTTGAATTTTCCCTTATGCACAAAATATTAAATACTTACACAGTATTCACAAGACCATTTACTTCAGTTATTCCATAACAACAAGAATTCATATGCACTATCATGTCATTGACCTCTAATCACCATCAACAGGAGAAACTTAAGTGAAGTTGTCTCTTTCACCTATCTAGGCAGCATTTTTTCAACTACAGGCGGCACAGACGAGGACGTCAAAGCCAATCAGGATTGAAAAAGCAAGATAGGCGTTCATCAGCCTGAAACCAGTGTGGAGATCTTCTGCACTCAGCATGTGGAGTAAGATCCAGATTTTCAACACCAACGTGAAGTCACTGCTTCTATGTGATGGTTGAGAGACTTGGCGCGTTACGAAAAGCATTTCCAATAAACTAAAGATATTCATCAACAACTGCCTACTCTGCCTCGTTACTGAAGATCATATAGCCAGAATAGTAAGAATAAGCAAGAAGAAACTCTGGCTGGCTGGCTGGCTGGATGGATGGATGGATGGCTGGCAACGAACCAACCAACAACCTATCACTCAATAAATATGCAGAAGGAAGTGGAGATGGATTGGGTATGCAGTGAGAAGGCCGATTGGGGACATCAGGCGTCAGGCCAGGCACTCGAGTGGAACGTAGATGGGAATCGACGAGTTGGGTGTTCGAGGAGAGGGTGACATGGAGGAGATGGTGTGAGGAAGAAAGGAGAGGTTATGGGCAGTGTTGGAGCTAGGTTGAAAAGATTGCAGAGAAGAGAGTGGAATTGAGATGTGCTACTGAATCTCTATGTTGCTCTAGGAACCCAAGGGACAAATAATAATAATAATAATAATAATAATGTCACTGAAGTTAAGGAAATTAAATAATCCTTTCCTTTCATCACAGATGGAATGAATTTAGTTCCTCCACTGTTGTACTTTACCTTAACAACAAATCCACTCTCATTGTATAAGGTTTATTTTTACTTGTGTAATCCCGGCCTAGTATATTAGAATAAATAACAAAATATTTGTTCATTTTGTTGTTTGTTCTTATATACTACGCCGATATTACACAAGTAAAAACACACCTTATGATGTGAATCATACTAACTCGGTGCCCAAGTTTTTCAAACCATCCAGTTCATTGTTAGTCAGGATACCTTCAAATTTACTGTCAATAAAACGTTTTGAAGGGTACAGTACATGGTTACGATTTTGTGGAAAACACGGAGATACATTTTAAAATTTGTTCATATGAACATGATTACTAAATTAGTACAGGTTTTTAAAGACCACCTTAATTTTGGTCAGAACTACCAAGGTAGAGTAATGAGTTTCTTATCAATATTATCCTTAAAATTACAGCTAATAGTATATTCCTACAAGGATTTAAATATATAGATGGAAGGATTATGTATTATTATGTAATGGAATAGTATATTGTAGGTACATTTCAAATGAAAAGTTTACAAATAATGATAGGTAGAGTAAAATATTATTAGAATATTCTAACTGTTGATGTGATCATTAGCAGTAATTTTACGTGAAATATATCACCAAAATAAATAGTTGACAATATGTGTAAACTTTTCATTTATACATTTAAGATTTAGATTTTTCAGGGAACCTTATTTACACTATCCATCTTTACTATAACTAGAACACAGGTATATCAAGGCATCCTCACACGATCCCATATGCCAATAGAGACTGATTAGTTCGGTCTAATCGATGACGGTATAATACAAGCAGTAAGACTAAACCTATACCTGTCGCACAAGAAATGGCTATCGTGGCTTGGTAGTGTAGTGGATAACGCTCTGGCGTTTGAAGTGATCGCTCCGGAGTCATAATCCCGGTGGGAACAACATCATTCTCTGGGAGGCAGGTACATCCAGCTGACGAGTCCCAAATTGGACGAAATGCGCATCCTGGATTCCACTGCTAGCCTCTACCCGTCATTACTATAACTTTATTTACAGTTATCTGCGATCAACTAATCAGATTCCAATAAGAATGTCTCTTACCTACACAAATTTATTGTCTTCTAAACAGCCACTCCTTTCCAATTATTTTTATCCACCTTAACCCTTAATCTGGGGGATGAGTATGCTGGTTATTAAAGGTCAGCTATCAGAGTGGTTGCTACTAGACTGAAATATAGGAAGATATCTGGTTCATCTGTCAATTCTTCACCAGACTATAAATACAAGTTTGGTGAACTCCACATATGACATCATATATGACAAAATGCGATACATACATGGGTCACTGAAGTGACTATTTTCGTGTTGTTTCGATCCTAAGTGCTGATCGATTTCTCTTAGACAAGTTTATACAAAAATTCTTTGATTTAATTAAACACAGGATGATACTGGCCGGGAACTAGAGATTACCTATATGTCTTATTTATAAGGACAAAGAAGAGTTTCCAGTTTAGTACCTTTAACCACTTTGCATGGAGACGAACTGTAGCAAAAATCAAATAATAACCTTAGATGTAAACGTCTAAACACAGACAAAATGATTAGCTTCAGATAAATCACATGAAAGACTTCCTACATAAGGCAAATCAGAGGAATCGTTTCCCAGTAAACCTTATACTGAAGGAAAAAGAATAATTTATTTAAAAAATCCTCAAGTCAGTTAGTTAAAAACTCCTAAGATGGACAGAATATAATAAATTAACTTAACTGGAAATCAAATGACAAACACAAGGAAAACATCTTGTCAGCTTTGACAGTGAAACTTCTGTCTCATAAAGATAATGACAAGTAATCAACTAAGAAATTCTCACTTGCATTAGGTAGTATAAAGAAACAGTCAGTAGTAATTAGAACAGTGTCACCAAAGTGATTTTAGCTATCATTTAAGAAACAGCTTAAGAGGATTGCTTATCATTCAATCCATCATATTCAATAAAGTGCTCGCATCTAACTTCAACTTCACCCTGAAAATGAATCGTCGGATTAGCTGACTTACTACTAGTATAAAGGACTGAAATATGTTTCCCTCTGTTTTCACTTCAAGCCACTACTAATGGAATGTCATCAGTTTCTTGGTTAACTAACATACTGTTGAGTGACGTACAGTGATGAAATATATGCAACTCAACAGTTGTAATGACTGACTACATCTACAAAGTGAATGAAGATAAGAAACAGAAGCATATGATGAAATTAAGAAATCAGTGGTTTCTATTATGAATCAAATTAAGAAATTCACAGATGATCTGATACATCAAATGAAGTTGTTTCTAGGTGAGTCAAAATGATTGAATTTAATGCCTGAAAACTAAATTATCCCAGTAGAATGTATGGTACCATTGAGTTTCATAAGCCAGATTATCCCATCAGGCCTATAGTAGGTTTCAGAAACACTCCGACTTATGAGGTATCTAAATGTTTAGCAATGTTGCTAGGCCCAATAGGAAATCAATGAAAATCTCGACTTAATAACCCTTATAACTTAAACCATAGATTAGGTGACATACATTTAGACGACAATGAAAAACGGTTGGTTTTCACATAACTAGCCTTTACACGAATATACCGATTGACATAGCTCTACAAGCAGTTAGAAATGGGCTTAAGGATTACAATGAACTTACACTTTGAACTAAATTGTTGATCTATCAAATCATACTATAAGTACAATTGTGTCCTACTCCAAAGATATGGTTCCGACTTGTAGATGACACATTAACAGTACTGACATCGGAACACATCAATAAGTTCTTGGCACATATAAATTCAGTAGTGAACGAAGTTCAATTTACCTGTGACTTAGAAAGTGATGAAGGTGAGCTGGGAATGTTAGATTGCAAGATTAAACAAAAACAAGATGAAAATTTTGAGACTAGTGACTATAGAAAACCTTCAAGTCATTTCACGACATCTCAGTTAAAGTAGACTTACATAAATGTCTTAGTAATAGAGCAGAAAACTTACTTCTAGGCAAGAAAATCTATGACAAGAAATTAGACACATCAAGGACATACTGTGTCTCTAAGTAGTCAGTAGTAGTCACGTGAGTAGTAGTAGTAGTAGTAGTAGTGGTACAGGTGTTAATAATAATAATTATTATAATTCTACTCTCCATATTAATAATGGTGAAAGGGTTGAGACAGGATTCAAAGCTTTCACTGTATTACAATACAAGGAAGACACCTTCGAAGCATTGCTAAGTATTCTGTATAGGGTTGGGATTGAAGTGGCATTTCGACTAACAAACTCGCTTAGAAACAAGCTGTGTAAGTTAAAACATCCTATTGTTCCAATTAGACAAAATAATTTGGTTTATCAATTCCCTCACATTGATTTCGAAGTAGTCGACGAGAGTTGATTAGAACAACAGGGCACAAAATTTTAGCTAAATTAAGATTAGTAGTTCCTAATATGATAAGAAATTTAGAAGAAAGCACGGCTATAGCTGTGCATGCAATTACACAATCAAACCATAGGGTGGGATAGAGCGATAGTAATTAAAAACTAACTTACTTGGGTGGAGGGAGAGATTGATAACTGAATCTTTGTTTATCAGATCAGCACCAAATACATGCAATAGGAATGATTCTGTACCTGTCCCAGATAAATGGAGAATTCTACTATCCTTGTCGTCATAAAGAAGGGGAGAAAATTAGGACTATACAAACTATGTTTCAAAGTTGTAGAGCTACGTGATATGAATATGGACAATAAATTGTGTCCGAGACGCTTTGCAGTAAATAATACTGTTTCATTGTGTGAGCTTTCTAATAAACAGACCAAAATGGAATTACAATGTCACAGTGCCTAAGTTCTACTCCTCAGTTGACGAATGTGTTTATTTGTAATTTCACTAGCACTGTACTATATCTAAGCAAACTTATAAATAACCTTGAAAGAAGTGTAAATCACTTGTTATTATCTTTTAGACTTAATGTTATCTCCAACTAGTCATTTCTGTCAGAGAATGAACCCAATGTCATAAAAGAGATAAAAAACTCAATAATAGTGAGCACATAAATTTTTATGCAAACAGGCAAATCTGTTTGTCTGGTGGAGGCTAGCTGAGAAATACAGGCTACTCATTTCCTTCTTTTTAGGGCTGATCAGCAGGATGTATCTGGATTTCAATGTGTATCACCATCAAGCATATGATATCAGAATAAAACTTGAAGCAATATTGACGCATTCATTCAAGGAGTTGATACACCACCAGAGACTGGTCATTTGGTCCCAGTACAATGATCAGCACAAAATTAAAAGCAACAATAAATAATAGGAAAAGTTGTTGACAAAAACTGAAGCTATTCGAGAATTTGTGTTACATGTTGTGAGTCAACAATGAGAAAACCACTGATTCAAGTTCCTTGCTTTTTGGCAGTTATCAAGTGGGCACATCTGCAACTTTGAAGAAAATGATGTGATGATGACTTATTCTCTGATTACTGCTGACAAACTCAAAAGCTAATTCTTAGAGTTGTTGGTTGACAACTTCCAGAATGTAGCATAAAGATATAATCCACTTCAGTATCACATCGTATTCCTTACTGACGACATTGTTTGATTTATTTTGCAGGCTAACCATTCGGCAACTACAAGATAATTCAAATAGAATAATTGAGGGGAATCAACCTCTAGATTTTCGCAAACCATCATAACAACCATAAGAGGAGCATATCTGCAGCCTAACAGCAACTCATACCTCTTTGAGGTAAGATTTTAAATTTGACTTTTCAGTGTTTCTCCTAGAAGTAATCACTTAGCTTGGTTGGATTTCATAACCGTGTAAAGTTGGTTACTATATGTGCTGACATCAATTAACGTTTGGTTGGACTGACTGTACATTTATCAGTAAAATCTTTGTGTATCACATCAAAGAGAACAAAACCAATAGACGGGTTAATATTTGTTACATATCTGAATATCATTCTCAGTTGCACCTCATAGATCTTATGAAGTTCTACATTGTCGAGAATCACTTGATGCCTTAGAGTTTGAGTCGATGGCAATCAGCTGAATGTTTTCAACCTCTTATCACCTGATTTAACAATCTAAATCATACATTTATAGAAATGTGGCACAAAAACATAACATTTCCAAAGGTCACAAGAGGAATAATGTGAAAGATGCTTGACATAAACTTACACCACTTGTCCAATTAGCTGGTATCGTTTTGCCTTGGTCAATATCATTCAACAATCTTGGTATCCATCCATAATAAATACCATTCTTTAAATCAGTTTGACCAACACTATACCATACACAAGCTAACCAGTGTGCAAGTAATACAAAACCAGATATCATTAAAAGTAAACTAGCCGCCATATATTCTAAATATTGATCCAGTTTACGTGTAACTCGACCAATTCTCAATAATCTAACAACTTTTAGTGCACCAAATAATGAACTGATTGTACTCTATATTAAAATTGAAGGTAGAAGGGATATAAAAGATTACTAGATGAGTGAATTTATTCATTTTTCAGCAGAATAATCATCAAAAATAAACAGTAGCTAAAATCTAATATCAAACAATTGAGTATTTCTAACTTCATTAATGAGAATTTGTGACACAGTTTGATGTAACTCAAACAATCATCAAAAGAAGTGAACAATGGGTGATAAATTAACATACATTTGTGCAGTTTTGACGAGTCCACTGATATGATTGCTTCGCTGACCTTATTCCAGATATTTGGGTATCATGACGCGATACTATGAAAGATATCAAATAAGAGTGATAGCTTTGAACGCGAGAAGCATTTTAAAACGCTAGACATTGCAGTGAGTGAAGCTAGAAACACTTGTTGTTGGGGCTTGGCTTAATGGACGGAAGTGAACCTATTCTACTTTATTAGTGGTGTACAGAAACAGGTTGATTTTAATAGAGGACCCTTCATGAGTGCAGACACATAACTTTCGTTGGTTTGGTGTGAGGAGCATGAAGTCTCGTGGTGAACACATCACCATTCCACTGCATGGTATGAATTTAGTGGTTAACAATTTTTTGCTTTCATCAACTCGTCATACAATGCGACCTTCTTTTAGGGTCATTGGTTTTGAAATGGACTTTTGGAATTTTTAATCGAGACAGGTATGAAGATAATTACTTTCCGATGGTGATGAGTAACAGTCTTGCTGAATTTGGAACTGAGAAAAGGAGGAAATTACGGACCATTGGATTCTAATGTTTTGGTAGTATAGGAATCTGGTCATCATGAGCAATGGCGGTCCTCGGAACAATCTATTATTGACCTAGGAGAACCTAAGAAAAAAAACTGTCCAATTCATGATGCAAACGGCTTTTAGCTGGCAAAATGTGCGTACACTTAGTAGTCTATCATTCCACTAAAATCAGAAACCGATAAATTCTTAAACAAAAAATTTAAGCTCAGTGAATATCATCAGAAGGATTGACATTCTAAACTACGATCTTTTATATGCTTTTTGAGTAAGAATCAGTTAACTATATATTGAGTTAGCCTAAAAAACAGTTGTTAAACAAGTATGAACAATTTTCAAACTGTTCGAAAAAGTAATTTTTCACCATCTCCTCAAGACATCGTAAGGGATTTCTGTTGAAGGATATCCAGTTAAAAAAAAGAATAAATGATGAATCTGTTGCCTACATATTTAAGGAGATAGGAAGAATTTAATCTTTAACGATATATGTGCCTAACTGTTACTCCCATTGGTTAGGTGATTTGCTGAACAGTTTCAGATTGACACAAACAAAACTACGGTCATTCAGTTTCAGTTTTCTATACATGAAGTGAATCATATATAAACAGTCTATTGACTTCAACCAGATGTTATCAAACAGGAAATCACAGCTATATTGGTTTCCTTCAAATGATCTGTGATATAATTTCAAAAGAGTTCATTGTTTATCTGAATAATTCACTAATAAACTTCTCAACTTATAAACTGCATATGCAAATATTTGAGTCACTAACGGAAGGTCAATTTATCTAAATTTTCTGAAAAATTTGCTGTTGAGCTATAACAAGAACAAATCGCAAACTGTTCTTCAAATTAAATGAACCATTTCTTTATGAAGTCATCTCCTGGTTTTGGGAATTTTGAATATTAAAGCACAATATTAGTGACTACAAAAAGAGGCAGTTTTCACAAAACTATTAACTTACTTGTGTTGCTTCAGGTTGAAATGCATTGAATACATCATATGGTAGACATGATAATACATCGACAATAAACCATCCTTTTAAATAATTGATACGTATAATTGTAGCATCAGATATCACTTCACCATTTGGACCGACAAAAGTTGTATGAAAGTTAAGTACAATATCTATAAAAAATATCACATCAACTATACTGTCTACAACTAGAAAGCTGACATCATCCATTGTTTTACTTTTGAATGCAGCATTGAATGGTACCATGACAGCTGTATAACCGGTTAAAAATAAGATCAGCCAATCCCAGGTAGTTTTTAAATGCAACATAATGTAATATAATATGAGGTGGAGTCTTGGGGGCTTCTTGTTTGTAAGGTGGAACTAAATCAAGCCATGAAGATGTGGACTATGAAAAGACAAAATGTATATAGATTACGATAAAGTGATTAAACAACAATTGAAATGTAATTGACAAGATGTTCAACTGGAGTGATAACTGGGCTGTGATAAAATTTGGTTCACTTGCCTGAGAGTCAACCAAGAGTTTCGTCTGACTTTTGAATGAATGGTAAGTAAGATTGAAGTAACAAATCGACAGATTTAGCAGCTTAGTTGCTTACCTGAGTCCATAGAACAGCGAGCTGGGGGATTCAGAGGTAGCTAGTTCGAATCTTGCCATAACTTTGAGTTTGTTTATAGGTTCACTCATTGTCAGTATCATGTTAGAACAAGTACCATGAATTCAGGTGTCTCATATAGTTTCATCGATAACTGACATCAGAATATTAGACTAAACAAACTATTTGAAGTGATTAGAAGTCAGTTCCCTATGTTCCTCCATCTTCAAATTTCCTGATAAAATGTGTAAAACAATGAGAGTGGTAATGGTAGGTTCAATATCTTCGATCACAGCACATATATGTTATGAACAGTTGTGGGATTAGAAAAATCTCAATTTACTAAGAAAATATGGTGGAAATGTGTGGATGACACACTTTATATGTTTAAATTAGAACATATTCAGAGATTTTTTTTTAAACACATGAATTCTTCAGTAAATAAGATTCATTTCACTTATGAACTGAAGAACCAAGAAGGATAACGTTTGGCAATGAAGTCACACGGAAAGAATAGGTCAGTTTAGATGTCAGGTAGATGCTTAGATATCATATCATATCATTCTATATTTTTCAAGGTGGGCTTCATAAAATATTTCAATAGTTCAGTCAGAATTCTGACTAGTAAACTAGAACATTTAAATGAGGAGCCTAAGTATATTACAGCTACACATTGATTAAAGGTTAAGTTTTGTTAGTCACATGTCTACTGTTTTCATAATATAGAAGTGTAATATCCTAATCATATACAAATGGATTTCGCCTATTACCAGTGGGTAACTCAAACTCCGATGGTCTGTGCACATTTCCGATATTTACTAACTAAATTAGCCAAGTGAAATTCAAATTTTCTGAGAATCTAACAAACAAAGTTTTTTTCTCATTATCAGTTCACATTTAAAATGATGGAGAAGATTTATAGCGCAGGACGAGGAGGAAGATGGTTCTATTTTGTAAGGGCTGGAAGCTAAGGAATCGCCGAATTATATTTACCTTGCATATGAGTTAATGTATATATTTAAGAATAAGCGTGAAATCTTTCATATATTAGTATGGATAGAATTCGGTGAAAGTGTTGGAAACTGCTCAAATTTATGTTAGAAGTAAAACCCTGAAATTTACTTGATCAAAAAAACTTTTATAGGGTACTTGGAAAGTGAAATTTACATGGTAAGCCTTTCAGTGATCAATTTATGTAAAATCCTTTATATATTTAGTAATAATGGGAAATAATTAACACCTTTACGACTCAAATGTTGTATATTTTGTGGATAATTTTTAATTTGTGTCAGTTAGTTAAACATCACAAACAGTAATCAGCTTTATATCCGATAACAGATTGACTGAGCAGATATACCAATCAGTTAGTTTCAGTTTATTACAACTGACCAATCAAAATATATCAAGGATTCACCATCGAAGAAAATGATGAATTCAATGTTGGCCAGCTGATAACATTCAAAGAAATCCTACCTGTTACCTTATTTCTTTATAATGACAACCAATACTTTATTTGTTTTAACTGTTGATTTATTCTTCATAGTACTGGTATATTTATGAATGAAAGTAGATTTTGAAAGTTCCCAAGGATAAATGATATATACAAAATATTTTGGATTAGAATTCTGTTCAGAATGACTTAAATACTTGAGAATGCAAACACACCGAATTAATAAGAAGACGATTGTTGTTTGCATTTCTTGTTCAATGATTCACTGTTCAATCCAGTAACTTTATTTACTTCTCGTTGTTTCTTCCCACTCATTGATTGACATAGAAATTGGTTTGTTTTTTATAAAAAAACTGTAAAATGAAATGTTTGATGCAGCAATGAATAAATAATTTATGTGTATTTATCACTAATCAACCTTGTATTCTGTATATGGCTACAATTTATGTGGAGGTATGCGCCAAAGTTTGTTTGTGTATGTGACACAAAGTACTTAGGTAGAAATGTCATAGGAATGATGCTTTTTTTATCAAGGTTACCATGAGGACGAGGTAACCCATGTTTTACTAGGTTAATTGTAACCGGAAATTCCTGAATAGGTAAACATGGGTGTGAGCATATACTGTGCATATTTATTTCATTTACTATTCTGTGGATGAATTATTGTAAGCAAGTAACATGTACTAGGTAGACTACTACACTAGGAAAAGTAGCGAAGTAATATGCTTTTCACATCAATGACTTTCTGGACTGTTTGCCCTGTTTTCATAGATTTTCCATTGCTGATGTTTTTTTCCTTTCAATTGCACTGAAGCAAACGAGGTGATCACAAAAGCTTGATCCAATTAAACAAATATAAGAGATGGAGGAATCTGTAAACTAAATTTTTCACTTTCATTTAAGCTATTTACTTCCTGCCTAATGAGTGTAAGTTTTTAATTAGTTTTCCCGGACATTCACATGACCAAGCGAAATAGTGAATTTATCTATTCCGACACTGTTTCCTAATGGTGACAGAGTACACATCAGATAACATTCACCATCTGTTTGAATCCAGGTTACAATAACATGTTGGATAAAGAGGGTGCTGAATAGTTTTGTTATTGATAATAGACTGACATCAGTTGGAGGAACAAAGGAAACCGGGGAGCACTGGAAAACTGTTTCTTCCTAGTATGGGACTCCTCAGCAGCGCGCACCCACGACAGTAACTCAACGATGATATTAGGTGGCGGTTGTGCTATATCGTGATCTAATAGAAGTTGGAAATATGGACCATTGGTATCTCACCCAGTGGCTCAACGGTAACGTGCTGGCCAAAGAACCTGACGGTTACGGGTTCCATCCCTCGTGGGATCGTGGGTGCGCATTGCTGAAGAGTCCCATATTAGGACAAAACGCCTGTCCAGTGCTCCCGGGTTTCCTTTGTTCCTCCAACTGATATCAGTCTACGATGAATAACAAACTGAAATATTTCCAACTCTCCACAACCCCCTCAGAATAGTTTTGTATCATAACAAGTGATGATTAAGTATCAGATGTTTAATTGCTTTGATCTTGTTTGTGATGCATTAGACAATTTTGCAGGTATCTAGTCGGGATTATGTTCACATTCAGACTGCAATGCATTAGCTGATGAATTAAACACCAGAGAGTTATGTGGCATGCTACTAAGTTGCAAGAATCGCCTCTTGAACAATTGGTTTCTCCTACCAATTATTTGTTGATGTTTATTATTTCGAGTTGTTTATTTTACCATCGCTTACTTGTTTTCCAGCGACATGAAGCTTATACCTGAAAATAGAAATATATACCACAAAAGTCAAACCGATTACTCACCATTGCAGCTTTCTCTGGATCTGATTTTGAGGAATCATGAAACCGTGAACTACCAGTAGTACTGAGATTTTGATAATTTGACAAAGCTGGGGAACTGTATTGTTCCATTTGGCCACCATCATTATCGCCTCCACCACCACCTCCACTACATGTTGTCAGTCTGTTACTTCGATATAAACTTAATCCTGTGCTTTGTGAAGACGTCTGAGATGCTGACAACTGTTGTAGAACTGAACGATTCCGTGTAACTGAACGAGCCAGTCGAGCAAATTTACTTAAACCTTTAAGAAGGCAGAATAAAATGTGAATGAAGTGTTCAAAAAATGACTTTAGAAATTAGCTAACAAGATTATGTTAATCCTCATGGATGTGTTGTTGGTAACATAAATCAGTTGGTTGATTTATTGGTTCATTAATGTAGGCCTTACTTAATTTCAAATATTCTTATTATATAACTTCAAAATATGATTGATACAAGTGTTGAAATAAACTGAGACTAATGCTACACATTTAAACTGATCTTTACAAAATTTTGAGTTATCATCATTTGTTGATCGCTATGTTCAAGTTATTTGCGCAATAGTTTACATTTCCAGGAACGTTTTAAAAGCAATGGCTGATATTTCATTATGGTATGAGAAAACAAAGGTGTAATTAAATCAACAATTTTTTTGAAAAACTACAATCTGTGTGGAAACCTAATAGGAATAGTAGTGGTTATATTATTCACAAAACACACAGTTTTTAGCAGAGTGTAGTCATAAAAAAAATGATGCCAAAAACAGCAATGGCCACTGAAATGAAGGCGTAACTAGTTGGTTAGTACTTTAAATCTGGTTCACAGAAAGTATCATTCGAGTGCTACGTATTTAGTGCTATCTGCTGACAGAAGAGTAGAAGCATCATAAACCAATAATTTACACTTACTGAAACTTAACAATATGTCGAAATTCTACACCAACAAGCATCCGTAAACGATTTCTGTCACTTTTCTGGAACCATAGGCAAGTTATATGACAAACAAAACATATAGAAGCAATTGAGCAGGTAAATCTAACTGGGTAGAAATATCATATGGATGTACTGTATTCTATAGTTACTATCTAGTTAATAATGCTGAAAAGTAAAGCCTTAAACTCAGCAAATCTCAGCGGGTACTAAATTTTGCAGACTAGCGAAAACATCTTTCTTTATACCCAACGAACAAGTTGATACTTTTATGTTCCTAATTGTTACACCGTACACTGAAAGATGATGCCAACAGCTTTCAGGAATTTCTGTATATATGAGCTACTGATTCGGGAATATATTCTGTTTTACGTTTCAGAGCATCAGTCTTCATGGACTGGGTCAAAGAATCAGATATTATATTGCATAACAACTCTCCACCATTTGCCATGATAAAAAGATTTTCACTTGCATGATAATCTAAAATTCATTTCTTTTTTTGACTCTGTGTAACCTGTCAAAGTTAAATATCCGTGAGTTTTTAGGCAAAATGTGCTTTTATATTTTGAACATGATACTTCATTCACCAAATAAAACATCTACAAAAAATCAGTGCACTAGAGATGCAGATTGTTCCTGCATTAACTAGCCAAAGGGTTCACTGACTATTGTTGTAGGAGACAAGGTGATATTCTAAAATAAGGACTTCGAAAAAAGGCCATGGCTTAGCATTTACAAGATGTAAGTACTATGTTAAAGTTTCGTGGCAGTCAATTAGTTAGTCAGTCATTCAGCCAATATCACCATGAGATCCGTAAGTGAAAAGTAACAGTTCAAATGTTTACATCAAGAACAAAGCAATACGATGAGATGAAAGAAAGGAAAATACGAAACATGCGATCAAAAGTAATAGAAAATCCTTAAAGGGGAGGGAGAAGCGATAAAAACCTCAATTATATGTGATATTATTACAAACATGAACGGAGTGTATAGATGCATCTGCAGTACGCTGAACCTGAATCATATCACTCACAGTCATCATCCAGTTACTTCGGTTATTATGTAAGTACATCTACAAGTCTAATTCAAACACTTAGAGATTTCATAAACTGATATCATATTTTTAGATCAACTACCTTTAATCTATATCAAGCGTTAATCCACTTCAACTAACATTGAGCATAGAGGTAGGCAGTGCATGTGCAATCCATTTCCCAGCTATCGGAGTTAATGAAGGTTAACAAATTTATCAACTAACTCCCCTCTTTTGGGTATAAATCTTTCGTCTGAGTTCTGTGTCACTCACGTGGTGCTTCGATGATTTATGGTTTTTGTTGGAAAACAGTGGTCCTAAGACAACCAAGGCCTTCTTATGTCCTACATCTTTAACAGCCATGTTTTACACCCAAAGTCTATGCTGTACACTAAACACTTTTATACACTATTCGATATCTCACCAGGGCTGGTGATAGTCTAAAATGATAAAGTTCAACTGTTCATTTTATTTTTATGCTGCTGGTTAGTAATCCCTCACAGCTCATCCTGGCTCCTAAATAAATGCAAAAGTTAAGGTTTTCAACCATGTTACTCCCTATTCTTAGATGATGTATAAATATATACAAGTTCGGATGCATCATACCTTTAACGGTTATTCTTATGATTATGTCTGATTGATTAGTCTGGTTCACTGTTTGTCGCTAAATTTGTTGTCCTGTTCAAATAATTATCATTTCATTAATTATTTCTTAGATAAAGTTTTATTTTATTCAGTTTTTAGTCTAGAGTCAGTGTGAAAAAACTCTTTTTATACTAGAAAACATCTAACAGAACTCTAATCATATGATATAGTGTCTCACATTTATTGTACTTCTCAGCTTATGTGTACCTGAAATTCAATCAACATGCATTTAAAGTTGTCTGAAGTAATGGAAAGCTACGGGTAGTGATTTTTTTGTGAATACTGATGGTGAAACCTGACTGAACAAGCCTACATAAACTGTGAGACGATCGAAGCTCTGATTAAACTATCCGAAGTTGAATGCTGAAATCAGTCGTTCAGATGTTGAATTCGTATCTTCTAGATAGCTGACATACAGCTCTGCTTGACGTAGAAATCATGGCGAATAGAACTAATTACCGAAGTATAACCACCGTCTTGAGGAAGTTGATGTCCCCTCACAGAGAGGTGATATGCAGCGTTTCAGAATCAAAACTATAACGACTACTTTAACCGGAAATTGTATATTAACGATCTACATAAGGGTTAATATATGACTGTAGGACCTGATGGGAGCATAACTGAGATTGTTTTTTCGCCTGAGATTCTTGTTTTGAAAATGGATATCTCTTGTAACGTAAGAGCGAAAACACAGGACTATATATGGTATAATATAATCCCATTTCCACTGATTTATGAGGTACACCACCGGAAATATAATGCATATATTTTAGTTCTGATAGTTGTCAATTCTATGCACCAATGAAGATCAGTTTCATTTATTTGACTTCAGCGTAAAACAAATATTTGTTATGCTAATGATGGATCGTGGCTAGCAGTGGAATCCAAGGTGCACACTTTGTCCTAGTTGAGACTCGTCAGCTGGATGTACCTGCTTCCCCGTGAGTGATATTGTTCCCACCGATCCATCTTTAATACGATTAGAACGCACGCAATATCGAGGCATTCTCACGGGATCCCGTATGTCAGCAGAGACCGATCAATTCGCTCCAAGCAACGGCGGCATCATACAAAAACAATTATACTAATTTATTATACTGTCTAAAGTTTAAGGGTGAGACAAAAATAGTTTTCATGCGGATGGTTTGTGTGGAGTTGCTAGTAGGCTGAAAACAGTTTCCTACCAAAACTGAGAACATTTGAAATGAGAAAGCTCTAATATATGAATAAAACTACACATATGTGGTAGATTGTAATTCCATTTTCGTTTCTTTCTTGAATGTTTTACTCAGTCAGATAGTATGTTTTCTCCCTGGACACACTGTATTCCTAACTCATTTGTAAATATCTTATCTGCTGAACTTAAAGTTCTCTCTCTTTTTGGAAATGACATCTTCAAGTTTCAGACGATCAACCACTATGTTGAATTAAGACTGTTCTGTACCACCTTTATATCTGTTAAGCTTAAGACTCTAGTCGAAAGACTAACAACCTACATTCGTTTTTTGGTCATTGGTGATGTTAGTGGCAATCTCATTACTGTCAACCATGTAATTTTCTTACATTTGTTTCCATCAAATAAGTAATACTGTTTCATAGTATGACACTTTTGATAAATAAACCAGTATGAAATGAGAAAGCATTTTTATAGTTGCTACCAATGAAAATTCTTTATTCCACCTGTCACTTTAATAGGTTATCTACTAGTCTACTGTGTATTATTAGGATGTATAGAGGCGAACATAATTAAGAGCCTACATGATAGCGTGATTATGGTGGTCAACCAAGATGATGACGGGGATAGATATTCTCTGATGAAGATAAATTATAGTCATGTTATATTAAGAAAAGATCAAAGTCATAGAATGTACACCTCTGGGTTAGAATCTCATCGTATAATCTGAAGCTTTCAAAGTAGAAAGAAACAACAATTCAGTCTTCAACACTTTCCAATCATTTTCCCCATAGTAATAAGTCTGTAAGAGAAATTATCTTGTATAATAAATTATCTTATCTATTATCAGGTCAGGCAGATCATGTTATCAAATAAAATGACAAACAAGTAATCATTCAACCGGATGTTATAAATTAGTATTCATGTTCATCGTCTATGATAAACTGTTTTCACATCTATCTTTTTTTCCCTAAGGGGAAAATGTTAGTCAATGTCGAAAGAAGTTGTTTCTTTGTCTCTTCATTTATTATTTGTAAGCTTTCAATATCATCGTCCTCCTTATCAGTGACTTCATGGAAGCAGGAAAATGAACTTAAAGTAACATATAATTATCATCTTGTTATAATGAATTTCCTACAATAAGAATGGACTAATTCTTAGGTGAATAAATAGTGGTTAAAAATTATAGGTGTATAGCTGGTTTGTTAAAGTACAGAAGAGAAAGTTCAAGTGAGTAAAAGGTCAAATAAATTTGACCACATTCTGGTCCAGTTCCCTTTTATATCATGGGAAAGAAACTGATTGAAATGAGAACTGGATTTATTAACATGTTATGACTTGGTGCTAGTGAAGAAACTTTGCTATGAAATAAGGTTTTATACTGACTGATTTACATGTGTTTATCTTGATGTAATATTGAGGTTTCCTTTGGGGGATTATGCACTGCATGTATTACGCAATAATCTTCCAAAAGGCGTTTTTAAGTGTACACATTTCTGAACATGGAATTATGTAATGCATAGTAAGTGGAAGACTCAACTAACTACGATTAGCATTCTAAAACATGGATAGCAAGAAGAAGAAATGTAATTCTAATTTCTACCCACATACAGTCCAACACTTCCAAGCAATCTCAAGCAGCCGTATCAGGTTTAGTCACATAATATTAAGTAAATGCATTTTTCGGTGACCTTAAAGACCATTCTGGTAACCAGTGAAATGGCTGACTAGTCTATGCTATTTCTACTTCAAAGATAGCCTCTCCATAAACGAATAAACCTCACTGGTTATTTAAATAGCTACTAGAGTAGTATTTTCAGTCAGTCTTACTTATACTGGTATAATTATAGCAATATAGATAGGCTAGCATTTCGAAGGACAACCGATGAGATTGCAATGTTCGTCATAGTAGCAAGGAACTACTTTTTCCATTGAAAAAGTTGTAAAGTATGTGAATAATCTCTTTTCATGAGATAAATTTCACTCTAAAACAAAATTTACTTGATTATGCTTACCGGCTAGGAACTTCTGGTTTTACCAGTAACATCTATTATACACAGTTGAAACTTCAGCAATATGGAGGCCATAAAAACAAATGGAAAGCAAGTTTTCCTTATTTAAAGCCTTTATGCCCAACAGACACTTTTCATCATTTTGATTTTATCATTTTGTTATTACATAAACTTTCAACTCATTTACACTAAGCTCTTGTTTTTAAAAGTATTCCCTACTTCACTGACAGTTGTTTAACAATTTTGTCATGTATTCATCTCTTGACTTTCGACTCATACTTACTTTTACCACGATCACTTGTTTATACGCCTCAAATGTTTTCCTGCTTCTTGCGTAACTTTCGTTCTCATAACATTCTCCTGATCACAAGTTTACAAACTATGTTGACATTCTTCACCACTAGACGTAGACAGTAATTATATTCATATACGACTGTAAAACTTTAGAGAATGATACCGCAAAAACAAATTTGTTGACTGAAGTGTTCCTTTTTTGACATATGCATTAAATTGTCTCCTATGATTTTTAAAAGAGATATTTAAAACCTAGTTGTTAGTCTAGTTTAACACAACAGTTTTTGTGTTGGGATGGTGATGTAAGTGGAGAAAATCACACAGAGACTGGTTTGTTCCTCATCGAGAGCATAGGGATTACAACTGAAGAATCGAAGTGACATAATTGCAAAAGTAGACCGACTAAGCAGGTTTGGAATAGACTGTAAACACCAAACATTTTGCCCACATATTTTTGAGAAGGAGAGGAACAGCTTTTTAAACTTCCCAAAACGTGAGTTTTGAACATTCCTTCAAAACTTTTTAAGCAAAATGATGCTTTCCCCCATAGTGCTCATTCCAGAGAAAATTCACGACTGCGTTTTCGTTTAAATGATTAGTTTTGAGAAGATGAGTCAGTACTTTTACAGATATACTCCAAGCTGAATTTCTCTTTAGTGAATTGAGAAAGAAGCTATCTGACTCCTGCCAAGGTAGTTCACTGTCTAGACTAGAGCACACATGCAAACAGATAGCCTAATCAGCTTAGAATGTAATGCTATGGCACATCAGCATAACTTACTACGCTAACCAGCAGCAAATAGAGAGGAAGATGATGGAAACACAATCCAAAGTGAAAGATTTATGAAAACAGACAGGCGTCATAATTTTACACTCCATTTCACCTACTGAGTTGTCTACGTCTAGGTAACCTGACAATGAAACTGCTCAAAGAAGGTAAGATAATAGCCTATCTCTTAAATGAGGATGTACAGATCCAGTTTGGTTGTATCAGCTTAAGTTATTGGATGTGATTAAAAGAAGAACTTAATATGTATTTGTGATGTAGAAAACTGTACTGACTATTATGTTTGATATGATGTTCAAACATTCGGTAAGCTGAAACAGTATTGAAATCTGAACACTTTCCAAAGTCACCTTCAGTAATTTCAATGATTTATAAAGTAATCCAGAGATTTTTTTATGCTTACCTTTTACAGTATCTTCATCCTCAAATGGGGTTTTAAGTGCTGTAATATCTCTAAATGCCAGTAGAAAGAGCACTACTTCTTCACATTCATTCCGTACTGGTGCCACACAAACAAGTAACCAAAATGGAAGACCTAAAATGTGAATTAAAACATAGAATGGAATGAAGGATTGATAACTGTGTAATAAATGGTCTTCGTAATATACCTAACTTTTTTTGTCACTTTTCATTAAGAAATTAATAATAGAAAAATAGTTGTATTGTTCAACATAAGAACATTACTGAAGTTGTCTATATGGTAGAAGTATAGGTTCTATGTACATTTTATCAGAAATTGAATTTTGAATTGCGATGTTAGTTAGTTCAGCTGTTAAACTGATATTCTAAAAATCTTAGCTTTATCTACTTATCTTCAAGTACAAGATACCATTGATGATCCCCGATGAAATGTTTTCAGTGATCAGTTCGATAAATTGGAGCTGATCAAATCCTGAAGTATAGTAACAAAAATCCAAAAGCATACAAAATTATTTGCTTACACATAACCTCATGGAGAAGTGAAGACATTCACTGAATGTATACTTTACAAAAAAATGAATATGCACACAACTTCAACATGAGATGTTCATCTACCTCAACATCAACTACACAGTCGTCCACAGAAATCGATAAACGGATTATTGTACCGTAAATAAAGAATATTTCACAGATCTACATAATACTGCTGAAGCTAATCGGAATTAATACAGCCTACAAGACGACCACCACAACCACGGTAAACACCACACTGGATAAACTGGTCATATTAATTAGTTTTCTCTGCTTAAATATTAGTTGGCAAATTATTGTCGTTTGATCTCTTATATCAATGCATGTAAACAACAATGGAGAATAGTTTGAACAAAGAAAACACATAGAATATGAGAGAATTCTTTGAGAATTGACATTCAAGTCAGTCAGAAACCAATAGGTGTATAAACAGATCCAATGTACTATGCAATTCGAAAAATGATGAGCAACTCTAAGGTCAAAGGTCAGTTAGAAATATGGTCGATTAGAACACCTATGGGCTAAGCAATACAACAATCAAAAAAGCACACTATTCATAAAAGCAGGCAACTGGATCACTCACAGAGAAATGCCAACAGATCAACTCATAATAGAATTAATGCTTATGATACTGCTTAGAAAGATAATGAAAGCTTCACGACTGAACCATCCAGCTTGAAGAACACAAAACGAGCAAGATGAACTACCTGAGCAGAAAATACTCCTCATCATTTCAAACTGACTAGTAGTCTCAGCATATTACTCCTGGTGATCTCAGAAGTGTATAGAAATATTATTAGTACTTTTGTGAGAACGTTTTGCATATCTATAGACTGATGTGCTATAAAACTTTGAATGAGAGTAGGTGATATCTGAAGCATTATTTCAATTAAATAATATGTATCCACTAATGATAATAGCAGTAGAAGTTGAATAAAATGAAATCTTCACAAAAAAAAAATGCCTACAACTGTTGATGACAATACTTTGAACATTCTATTAGTTATTGTTAACTTATTACTTTTCAAGTGTTTTATTATTGAAGAGAATTACTAGTGACTAAATCTTTGAAGATGTTAAGTCGCCAGTGTCGATTAAAATCTTCATGCATAATTCTATACGAAAAAAGTGACAATGAATCTGTTTCGAAATCATTCACTTTTGTAAAATGGAACAGAATTCTTTTTTAATATCGACAGTGACTGATGACATTAACCAATATTCTTTCTAAGATAACTTGAAGTTTGAAAACTAGCTTACAGTAAGAATCCAGACTTGATTGAAAAGTATTCGTATGTGATGGAAGAGTAAATATTAAATTCCTGCGACCACTGGATTAAAAAACAAGTTGTAATAAATAAACTATGTATGAGAGATACCATTTAGGCAGTATTCGGAAAGTCATACATCAGTATCTTTCTTCAGGACAAGTGATGGTCTAAATATTCAATGAGAAATCAATACAAATAAGCCGTTATTTACATACAAAGATACTGCGAAGCAGACGGATGGATAAAAATTTTGATGGAGACATAAATATTCATAAGGATTTGACTATCTGAGATAGTCACAGTTTGGTAGACCAGTATTTGTGCTGGGTGATAATTGAAGGTGAGATGAAAATCTGGACAGCGCCTGGACCCGAACCACCGGGTTACCGCTGCTGCGAGGTCCTACTGCTGACCAGAATTTTATTTTACGTCAATCATCAAGGGTTTTTGCCTGACTACAATGTGAATTCGTGACCCCTTACTACTGTTTGATCGTATTCATACTTAGTGCCTAGTCAGGACTTTTCATCCCAATCCAAATCTAAATGAATCAGAGAGGTTGAGCATCATATTGATTATAATTTGACTACCTGAGATAGCCGTAGTTGGTAGCTCAGTTGGTTGAGCACCGGGCCCGCAAGCCAGTGGCCGCAACATGTAAACATTCTTTATTAAAGTTTTTGAAAGTTAAGTTCAGACTTGTGACTAGAGTGAATATGAATAATGAACACAGTCCTTGGCATTTACAAGGATTGTTCTGTTGAGCTGATTGGGCATGCAATATTTACTCATCTTAGAAGAATGAATCTGATTTTCATAAACTTACTCATGTAATACTCTGTTTTATTTTTAAATTATCAAATGGAAATATTAACTGTAGGCTTTATTCGAGTATGAAATAATGAAAAATAACCTATAGTCTATAACATGGAGTATCTGAATGTAGTCTGTACGGAATTCATAAATCCTTGAAGTTTCAAACACGTATCATTCAATCCTGGATTCAAAAACTTGTTCACATAGATCAGAGTTGATGTAAAGTTAAAGAAAGTAAGCCTATAAGTCAGTTAGACTGTGAAACTATGTAACCAGTAACAAGGTTACAACAAATTATGGCTGCTGACTGAAATTTCATGCTCACACAACATATGAACAAGTTTTGAATGATTAATAATTGAGTTCAATATACTGAAATGTTAACTGTTTTGAAGTTTGTGTTTCTCAATGATTAAAAACTAAACTTGTTTCTCACTCATTGGAAAAAAAAACACCAAACCAACTTGAAATCAATAAATAAATCTCCGCAAACCTAAAAATTGAAATATCATTTATCTAATGTCTAATATTTTTCAAACAAGTCATGTTATACACTAAATGAATCAAGAAGTACAGTCGAATGTGACATACTTTAGTGAAAAATTATCAGTAAACTTTCAACAGGGGAAACACAACTTAATCAATTGATTAGAAGCATGAGGGTTAGCTGGTAACAAGAATGTAAGATGTGCTGACTGATATCTGTTGCTCAAGCTTGCATTTTAATCGTCAATCAAGAAAGGCTGTTATGCAGTTGAGCTTTTGGCTGGTGTTAACCAGCACATTGGTAACATTTCTGTCTGGAATATTGACTAATGTAAGTTTAGATTTACTAAGGGTACCAGTTTTCAACAAACTGCAGGCATAACTTGCTGATGAGTTCTAATATACTCGAAAACTTGATAAATTAGGACTTCCTGCTGATTTCCTTCAACCTTTACACTCACCATTCCAAAATTATGGATTAATTCTATTGCCAATATGGAGAAGTAATAACAGCTAGTCATCTATTTCTATCTGACGTTTTCAGCTTGTCCTCTTCATCATGAAATATATGTCAATGATAAAAATGATAAAAAATTATCCTGCCTTATATCAAATAATATATTCATTCAGGAAGGTATGGATAAGAGTGTAAAGCAAAACTATCCAATGAATCACTTCATGTTTTCACCAAATAATAAATCTAATATGGTCAATAGACAACACCCTTTTAAGGGTGAATCAGATGAGTTTTCAATGGATCCTAGGCTATGCAAATGTCCTATCAATACATTTACGATTCACTTGACGATTTTATCAAGAAATCCTAGCCATTCAGCTGAGTATCTTATTAAGTATAGTCGTCAATCGAAAGCCTCTGAGATGGTCAGCTGGATTTTTATAGGTTTTTTAATGACAGTACACCATCTCTTAGGTGAACAAATATTTCCATCTTTTAACTCGGTGGAGTTTAGTTCAGACGATGGGCTAATAAGAAAACGAACATATTGAGGTGATTATTTTTGAAGAGAACGGATATTATTCTATGGACTGAAATACGCTCTCCCATCAACCAAAGCAAAACATTTCACCTAGTAGCAGTACAAAACCTTTAAATTTTCATAAAATTTATTATAACTTATAAGCATATAACTAAGATGAGATCACTTACGATTCTTTTTGTAGAATAACATTTCAATTTGATCAGGTGTTTGAGTGTCTAGTGCTTTCAGTAGACGTTCACGCATCTCTTTAGTTGTCTGATCTCCGTAGAAGAATGCACAACTCCCACTCTTCTGCATTATATCCACACGACTATAACCAGTTAACCGTGAAAATCCTTCATTGCAATAAACAATTGGATAGTCGACAATACGTGCATTAGCCAATACGAAACTATAAACTGTTGGGAAAATGGTTAAATGAGAAGAAAAATAAAAGAAGATTAGTAAAAAATGAAGAAGTTTATACCAGATTTGTAGAGGGTGAAGAATTATACCACTGTATAATTTATCAAAAAATGATATAAACTAAACAGCCATTAAGAAATCTGGTCACTCTTTGGCAGTCAACATCCGCGGCTATGTGAGAAACTGAGCTGAGAATCTGCAGGACTTGTGGAGACCTTTGGACTGGAATTCAGTGATACAATTTTCTCCATATTCTGTCACTTTGCAATAGAGATTAGCTGTCATCCTGTTTCGTTGGTGGGTATACTTCTGTACTCTCAACTTGTTTGACCCTACCAAGCTATGACTCTTCATTAGCATATCAAGAAATTTATCTCAAAGTTAGCAACTGATAAGCATTCGTTAGGAATCGGATTGCCACTTATTTTTTTTGCAGTGCTATGTAGTATGTAATACTGTTTCACTGTGTGCAACAAGAAATCAGTAAGTTTTTTTTAAAATGTATAGTACCTCCATACTCAAAAACTCAGTCACCTAGCGATGATAACTTCAACTGGTGGTTTCTAAAAACTGAAATCAGGTTTAAAAATAACAGAATAGGACATTAGCACAAATAGCTATCATGGTAGTTCACTTTACACATCGACCACAGATAAATAACCAATGAGAAACAGAGAGAACTTGATCACTACCACATCTTGGTTCGAAATTCCTTGTTAGTGGATACTATGAAAGATGGAGTCAAATACTATCGGATTTACCGTGAAAATGTTTTTGTTCAATCAGTAAGAATTTTATATCATACACTTTCGAGTTTTGACAGTTTGCGATACTATTTTGTGGTAAGAAGTTGCTTAAAGAGAAAACATAATTTTTGTGTCATGGACCGATGGGATAGATATTTTCCAGCCTCTTTCCGTTGAGGAAAGTTTCCAGCAGACTACAGACATTCATCAACACCTACCACCTACGCTCACTGGACACTGACACTGAAGATTAAATGACCAGAAAGAATGAGCAACAAGGAACTCTGGGAACGAACCAACCAAGAAGCTATCGCTGAACAAATATGCAGAAGGAAGTGGAGATGGATTGGGCATGCACTGAGAAGACCAATCGGGGACATCACGTGCCAGGCCAGGCCATCGGTCGGAACCCAGGTGGGAAACGGCGAGTTGGGCGTCCGAGGTGAGGGTGACATGGAGGAGATGGTGTGAGGAAGAAATGAAAGCTTGTGGGCAGTGGTGGAGCCAGGTTGAAAAGATTTCAGGGAAGAGAGTGGAATGGAGATGTGCTACTGAATCTCTATGTTGCTCTAGGAACCCAAGGGTCAAATAAATAAATAAAATTCCGTTCCGGATGACAATAATAGACAGATTATTACTTTAATAGATTAGTGAGAATAAGTTATTTATCCTCTTCCGAATCATCTTTCTATAGATATGAAAATATCGTGAATGTGATGCATTTTGCCCACTGAAAATCATTTTCTTAGACACAGGATACCCTTCGTTAGGTGATATTTATGCAACTCATCAAACCAGAAGTTACTAGAAGAAATAGTTTTTATTTGCGTACATTTCGATTACATTCAAGCACTCAGTATCGTTATTGTATTTGATGGTATCTACAATCCGCTGCATCACTTCACGTGACCATAATTGAATTTCATTAGTGACTTCTAAGCTTCTCAACAATACAAAGACAGGAAACAGCAACAAAATAATAGGCAAAAAATAAAATAAAATGTGCATATAACCATAGAACATTCGAAATTTTGAGAAGAATAAGTAATGCGTGCAAACAATTGTCTATGATAAAAAATAAATTCATAAGAGTTTGGTCAGTTTGTGATGCTCATTTATTTGACAACTCATTATCATATGATTTTGAAACTGAATGATAATTTGTTCTCGAAGAATATGGAGACTACTGTTGAATTATTGAATAAGGATGTCTTAGAAAAAAAAAATACTTAAATGAAGATGATGATTTAGGGCTTGTAACGAATGAGATAATGCTCTCGTTCTGATCAAAACATTTGTTTAAAGGTACCGAATGTGGTTTTGTAACATAATGTCTCCAAGATAGTTCATTGACTTCTGTAGCCTTCAATGGTATTTCTTTCTGGATATTATTTCGAATTCACGACATATACATTCATCCATTCACTAGTGTTAACTAATTATGAATGTATGTAGTCATAGAGAAGAGATGATTCTTCGCTGAATTATCTCTTCTCAATGTATGTAGTATTTCAGTAGTTGTCAACATAACAACTTATAGACAAAGAGGCTACCTAGAACCTCGCTGAAGGAATACAAGTTGCAATCGGTGGGCCATTAGTTATCCAAAAATGGACGGGATGATAGAAAGTTATTAACTCTGAGATGAATCCACTAGCAACCCTTGCTTCTCAACTTGCGGAGCCTCAGGCTGAAGCAAAACAGTGCTGTCAAGATCTTAATGTTTTTTCACCTGATGTCAATGCATGATGAATAGAACATTATCTGCTTTAGTATTGTAATTGTATATTTCAGTTAATAGTTTACCTTGTTGTTTGGCTGTTGGTCGAATGATGGTGGGTGAGGACAGTATAAAAAGATACCAATCTAGTTCCAACCATTTAAAAATTTGACCTTTAACTGTTTACGAAAAAGCTCAGCGACTAGTATGTTTGTCTGTCTACCGTCCTTTGACTTACAAATTTCGTTAGTTACCTTGATAAGGTTGTGGATTCTGGTTCTGAATGTAAACAATTTCTGCCAGTCAAATAGCCTGTTTGTTTTACTCCACAGTAAACTATAACACAGACAACATGTGACCCATTTTAATCTGGTGGCTAAATGCAATAACTCAGCTGTATATAAAATGAATCACTCCATAATTATTTTGCATCATTGAAGATTAAGTTTCTTGAGGTAAAATGTAGATACTTTTCTATAAAAAGTGATGAAACGTATGAATTCCCGGCATAAAGTTCCAAGTTTCTAATTCCACTCAGTCCACCCTCGAAAAAACATGTTACATAAGTTAAGGTAGTTACAATGAAAACCAGATATCAGTGTCGTTTATCTGTAAATCGTAAGTAAAGCCATTTGTTATTTATACTGATTTATTCAAACAAACAGAAAATGTTTTTCAAGTCTTAGTCGGACCAATATCGCTCACTGGGAGACACACACATCCAGCTGACGAGTACCAAGTGGGACAAAACACACACATGTCCTGGATTCCATTGCTAACCACTATCCATCGTGAATGTAAAAGAGGAAAATTGCTGTCAAACACAAGTCTGTTTGGTTCATTGAACTAAAAGTGAATAGAAAATAAGTTTTAAGGCAGATCTAAGAGTCAAGTAAGGCTGAAGTCTCTCCCAACGGTATTTTTGCTGCATGTTGTTTCGGTGATGAGTCTACAAACTTTTTTATACGTACAGTAGGTGCAACAAAGTCCACTCAGTTGTTCAACCACTTAGCTTTAATTTCAGGGGGTGAAAAATCACGATGAAACTATCTATCCTTATTTACAATTCAGTAACCACTGTGTGCAGAGAGGTTTGTTTTGGTTAAGAAAGAGAGGCAGTTTGAACACCGAAAAAACAATCACATTCTTAGACTATATTACTGTAGTGAACTTCACAAGGGTGTGAATACCTTTGTTAACTGAACATCGGCTGGGACTTAGTGATCTAAAATGTATGTTTCAGTCAAAAATATAATTCTATTTATCAAACAGGATTATTTACTACTCAAAGTTGTCGATAGTAACTCATTCAAATTCAAATTTAAGAGACGTGAGCATAGAACTCTATGAATGCTGACGGTGTGAAATTAATTCCTAACCCTATTAAAGAAGGGAGTAGTATCACTGAAGCCACTAATTCCAATTAGGAATCAACTGATGTGATACAGGTGAAGTTATAATGTTAAACAGTTATCGAATAAACTATTTCATGAAATTTTCCAGTCCTATTATCAAGTTGACTGATATATGACACTCAAAGAGTTGACGAATTTGTTAGACACATGGACTAGTATCTTCTTTTTAAAATTCTAGAATAAACGCTACCGAAAAATGCCAGGTTTTAATAATTTACATGTAAACTTTAAGTAACACCATTCTTGGCATAAAGTTTTCAGATTCATTGTGCATCTTCTGAGATGAAAAGTGTTCTTCAACATTGTTCACATCAATGAACCATCTCACCTAGTCAGTGAAACTAAGTGATATGCATGTATAAAAGATAAAGTACCACTATTAGTGGAGTCGATTGGTAGCGCGTATTCAGAGAGTTTATCGACTTTGAAAACGCCTTCGACAGCGTCGACCAAGAGGTAATTTGAGAACTGCTTCAACACTACAGTTTTGGTGCCAGAAACGTTTACCAAACTCATTCAACAGCTACATAGCGACGCTACATGCCAAGTGATCCAAAATGGAAAGCTCAGTGACGAGTTTGACGTGAAGTGAAGACAGGAGAAACGCAAGCCTTCCACCTACTATCACCCATGATCTTCCTGATTGTGGTGGACTGCATCATGCAGCAAACAGTGAGGGGCTTTAGGAAGATAAGGATACGCTACCTGGACCAATGAAAACACCCTAGACGAAGATTTGAAGTTCACCGATGATGACGATTTATGTCTAATGTCTTGCCGCACAAACTCGAAGATCTACAGGCGAAAACTAACAAGTTGACACAAGAGGTGAGGCAGGGCAGCGAAAACGGAACTTCCTTCAGCTGAACGTAGAGGAGACAGACAGAGGTGATGAAGATACCCAACCAACATCACCAACAACAACAACAACAAACTCCATTCACCATTAACGTGAGAAATCTAAAGAAAATAGTCTCTTTCACCTACACCTACCTAAGCAGGGCAGCATCGTTTCATCTACAGGCGGCAGTGGCGGCGACACAGACCAGAATGTCAAGACGAGGATCAGAAAAACAGCAAAACAGGCTTTCATTAATCTGAAATAATCAGTG